CCAACTAATAAAAAAAGCAAGAAATTGTTAAATAATAATAAAACCAATTTTTAAAAAGTAATAAATTTTTCCCCCTTCAGTCTGTTATAATTCATAAATCAAAAAGTAAACATTTAAAAAAATTGACAAGAATGCAGTCTAATTCAAAAAATAAAAGCATTCATTGTCTTATTTTTTAATAAAGATAATATGGAACTGGTAATATTATTAAATAAAGCGAATAGGCTACATTTATTCATCCAAGTGCAGTGTGTTGTATTCGTGTTTTCTCGATGTTTTAAATATCATCAGCCGGCAGGTCAGATGCATAATGCAATGCGTCGTGACTCGTGTAATTTTTTTAAAACTCTAGTTACAATACTGTAAAAAGACAGGAATTTAGACCACGTAATCATTCGGTCGATTGCGGCGCGCACCGATAATAAAAAATGACTGTACACGGCAGACTTTAGACGGAAGTTTTCTAATTCCCAGCGAAATAACAATATATAACCGGTCTTTAAGAACGTCTTGATCGACTGGGATACAACCACTCTCCTTGCCTCCCTCTCCGTCTTTTCCTGGCATTTCTGGTTCCCTGATTTGTTTTCTTTTCCCCGACATTTTTCAGTCAGTCAGTCTCCTGCTCTTCCACCAAGTTCATCGTTAACTTCAGGCTGCCGCCTCAACTCTGATTGGTTCTGTTCACGAGCTGGGGCGGGACTTACAATTTTATTGGGTCCATCTGATGTTTGTCACTGACTCTGACTGAATAATTAATACATACTTTAGGTCGGACTAAACCATTTTTATGGAGGTAAGAGAAGCAGATATTTGGAAAAATATTTACCCAAATTGCACGTTTTGTGGTTTTCATTTAAATCTCAGGCATACAACTAATATAAATATTATAATTATTCATACTACAGGGGCCTAAATAGTACAACTGCTGGATTTTGTGGGGCCCCATGGGCAGCGGGGGCCCCTGTAATTGTCACCACCTTTCACCCCACTAGCGACGGCCCTGCCGATATATTTGTATTTTTTTTAAGTGCAAAAAAAGCTTATTAAAGCTTCTATTAATGTTCTCAGTCAAGAGCAGTGAGTGATTTCCTCTGTGTTTTGTTGTTTTATTAACATTAACGAGATAGTTCTCCCAAAAATTTAAATTGTCATCATTTACTCTCTCAAGTTTCTTTCTTCTGTTGAAATTATAAAAGTTATTTGGAAGAATGTGGCTAACCAAACAGTTGCTGTACTCCAGTGACTTCCATAGTATATTTAAGCACAAGAAAGAAATGAATCCAGGTTTGAAACAACATTAGATGGACAGAATTTTTATTTCTGGGTGCAGTATCTCTTTAAAGACAAGCGGCAGAATATTATTACTGTCTCTTTAAGAACTGCACGCGAGTAATGCGACGCGTCTAATATACACGCATTTGACAAGCAGATTTTCTCTGTTTGCTTTCACTTTAGACATAACCAACTTTGTTTATGTAAACCTTGTGTGTATTTGACAGTATCAGCGCAATAAGACTCGAAAGATTAGTCCAGTATGCAGGCGCTGTGACGGCTTTAGTTCCTGTGAGCGTCGGGTGTAACGCGCTCAGAAAAGCGGATGTTAGAACAGCGCATCAGCACGTGAATGACATGTTTACCTAGCAAGACTTTGACGCACATGCAAACAATGAACTTTTGTGAATTGCGGTGTCCCGTGACCGTGAGTGTAACTCTACCTCTGCGTTTACATGTGATGTGATGTGATGTGAATGTACGTCGCGTTGTACAGTATGTTGAGATGAAGGCGCCAGAATTGAACTGATAGAATGCACGATACTATGATTTTTCTTCAAAAGCAGATCGTGGAGACATTTTAATCGTCCACGATCAAAAACCGTGAGACGCACGGCACACCCCTAGTTGGAAGTTTAAGTTGCTGGCGCTCATGCTTCGTTCACGGTCGTCATGTGCGCATAGGAAACACGCCACCCTATCGGCAAGACTCATCGGCAGAAATATTAATATCGGCCGATGCCGATGATGGTCATTTTAAGCTTTTATCGGCCGATACCGATGTTGTCCCGATATCATCGTGCATCCCTAGTAACAAGTGTATATATATATATATTTGGACTGAAATCAAATAAAACCAAAGGCCTACATCAGTCATACATCGCTCTTAGGACCACACAGCATGGAAATAAGGTGTGATGTGTTCTAACATAACTGTCGCATTGAAAAACTTTTGCTGAGAGCTCAGTTAGAATATTTTAAACTTACATGTGAAAACAGACGCAAAAGGCAGATGCAAAGCATAGTCCGAGGATATCACACAGGCAATTTGCAAACTGCACAAGAAGGTGATGGAGCCGGTGAGTGAGGCCCTGTTGACAACTGGTACTGAGATGCGTTTCGGCCGATCGGATCACAAGTGGACGACACTAAATACAGGTGTAAACGGGTCTAAAACGCTTTGAGCTTGTCCACTTTCGACCGCTTCCAGAGTTGAAAACACATTCGACCGGATTGCTTTCGTAGTGTAAACGAATGCGTTCAAACAGCCACAAAAGACCGTCTACTCTCCGTCTACTGAACTAATGCGGGAACATTATGGGAAGTGCGCTAGACAGACGGGATTTAAACGTTGTTGGCTGGAGACCCCAGTTTGGTATAAAGATGAAAAACATACCAAGCACAATGTTCTCTCACCATTCCTGATTTCTAACACACACTCACAGCGTTCGGCTGGTCTTGTGTCTGTCGGGAATGTATACTGAAGACGGGAATGTGTCTCTCTCATCTACTCGTGATCCGAGCGACCTAAATGCATCTTAATACCATGTGTAAACAGGGCCTGAGTCTCAAAACACACATCTTTACGGACATTGTCTGCTGGCATAAGGTAGCCTATTTATTCATTGCACTTTAACAAGAAATCTGAACGGCCTAGTTTATGTGCAATATTTAGTGTTAAATAAATTGTTGTTTGTTATGTTGGTGTTTGATATTAAGCTGCTTTGTTTATCATTGTTGTCTGAATGTGTGGACCTATTATAGGCTGCCATTAGCTATATATTTTTATTATAAAATAACAAGAATAAGAACAATGTTATTGTGTTGTCGTACGTATTATTATTAGGCATATCGTCAATATTTTATGTTTATGTAATATGCAAAGAACATGAAATGCGGAAGAACAACGATGCTGTTTTCACGATGTGATGTGCCGAATATATGCTGTGATGTTAACGTGAAACTTTGGTGGGAAATTTGATCATAATAATAACAATAATTAATACATTATGGGAAAACGAGACAAATATTGTCTTGATATCTCTTGACTGTTGTCGATCCACGACATTATTGTCTATCGGCACAATATTGTGCATGAAGACAATAATAGACTTTAAAATGGAAAACGCATAATATCTTGCTTTTATGCACCTAAAACCTGTGTATAACTCTGCTGATGGCATCAACCTGCAGATATGGGCTAAAGAATAATAATAAGCAACAAGTTTATGGTCTACATACAAGTCTGATATTATGTGTAGTGTGATTATATGCACAAGCCTAAAAATGAACTACAAAACAAGTATTGTGATTTCTATGGACCATTAAGGAGTCTTTCAATAAACCCTTGATTCAAAACACGATTTTATACCATCACACATCAAAGTTCTGTACACTATCATTGATGATAACTTTTTTTATTAAAGTTTAGGGTGGATTTGAGCTCTTAAAAGGCAACAGAGATGCAACTTTAAATTGCAGGGCACCAGAAATAAACACATTTTCCGTGTCAACATGCTGGTTCATATTACCTGAGGTTTGGTCACATCTTTGGCAGACAGCCGATCGTCTCCGTCACCGCTGGCGGCTTTATCTTCCCCGACATCAGAGCTCTTTTCTTCATCACCGTCCTCCTCTTCCTCATCATCTCCCTCCTCATCTTCATCATCACTGTCACTGCCTGATTCTTCAAGCCCGGAGAAGACGCTCTCTTCACTGTCTGACAGATCAGCCTGATCTTCATCACCATCATCTAGATGACCATCTTTACCGCCATCCTTATCAAAGATGGGCAGCTGAGAAAAAAACATGAAAAAGTTTCAGTGCAAGTATGAAAGCATCAGCAGACCATCACACATTCACTGCATTACCATATTCACATAAACCTAATTTTACTTTTGTAATAAAAACCATACATGGATTAAAAGGTTTTCAATGACATGAGATATATATATTTAGTCATGTGCGTCCAAACTTTAATAATATACTATTGTTATATAACGTTAATATAACATTTTACACCGTAGTAGAAAGTAGCAGTAAACAGGATAGACAAACTAAAAGAGAAAGCGTTAAACGTACTCCGTAAAGTGTCTATTGGTAGTCATTATTAAATGTATTATTATTATCAATTGTATTATTATCTTATTCAGTCAGAACGCTGCAATTTAACCTCGCGCTACATAAACACGCGTGTTATCATATAACGCGTTATATATAACAACTGTCTGACTGCTTTAAAACAACACTACATCAATATAGCATCAAATCATACCTGGTCGTCTTCATTCTCCTCTATATTTCTTTTTTTATTCTTTAATTTAGTCATGGTGCCGCTGTGAGTTAAACGCATGCTGAAACTGCTACCATGTGGGTTTGAATCAGTGACGTCAAAGGTCAAACCATGACGCGTTCGGTTTATTTCTCATTCCTTTTACATTAAACGTTTTAAAATATCATTAGTTTTGTATTTCCTTCCAACTTATCGTTTTTTAAAAATACAATGGTTTCGATTTGATTGCGTTTAATTATAACCACGTCTGAGGCAAAAGGTTAAAGTTCATCATTGAACACGTGACATTTAAAACCTTTAATTTGTCAAATTAATTATTTTTAGCGCATTAAAACAAATAGAAAGAGAAGTATATTTGTTTTTATTTATGCGTTCAGTATTTATTTATTTTCTAAATTAGTGTGATATTTTAAACAGGCGTCGCAATTGTGTCATCATAGCGCGACGCTTCTCAGCGCTCCTTGTTTTCTACGCAGTTTCGTCGCGATGTGCATTTAATGGAAATTTCCACTCCTTCTGAACCATCATCAGCACCAAATCAGATTAAATTATCTTAAATAGCGCTCTTTAAACGGGATCCGGACACTCTGAGGGGGAAAGATACTCAAATTCGCGTGTTTAAAGAGCGCAGTCTGTGTTCGTTCAGCAACACTTTTAGTTTGTGACTCTGCTCTTCTTCATCAGTGACTCAGTATAGAGGTTTAATCGTCGTCAGAAATCATCACTAAACTGTCTCTGATGGAGTATCACAGTGTGGGCCCTGGAGGGGTGATTGTCTCGGGTAACAACGTACCTGCGTTTCTGACCAAACTCTGGACGCTGGTGGAGGATCCGGACACAGACCCGTTAATCTGCTGGAGTCCTGTGAGTTCTGGTTTTGGGTTTCAGGTGGTTTGGGGAAGGTTTACAGCTCTGGATTATAGTTAGATTCTTTTGAAATGAGCAAGTTTAGGCCTAAACCAGTACGTCTTAACATAACCTCTGATATGAGGCGCAGGATCCTGAATTTAACTGTAGTTTTGCCTTCTATTTATAAATGGCCCTGGTGATTCTTGGGCTAAAGGGGCCTGAGACAGTTTACAGATCCATCTTTTAGTTCAGATTCAATCGTCATGAGCCAGTTTAGACTCTTAAAATGTGTAAAGCATTGATTTAATTGTATTTGTATCCTGTCTAAATCTGGAGTATTATAAGTGGATTTGCCTGGTGCTTTTGTTTGTTTTTTAGGATGACTGTCAGGATAGACTACAGATCTTTAGATCACCGTTTTAATTTCAGAATCTTTTGACATTTTGTAGATCTGTCATTAATTTGTTTGTTTACTAAACTCTTAGGCCTGGTTTCACAGACACGGCTTAGAGTAAGCCAGGATTAGGCCTTAGTTTGTTTAGAAGATTTAAGTAGCTTTTATAAACGTAAATAATATTACTAAGTGTGCATCTTGAGACAAAACAACGGCACTGACATATTTGAAAGATATGTCAGTGCAAGTTGCTTTTCAGTTAAAACAGATCAAACATGCGTTTTAGTCTTGGGGGACAGTTCACCCAAAAATGAAAATTCTGACATTAATTACTCGCCCTCATGTCACTCTTAAAGGAACACTCCGACTTTTTGGGACTTTAGCCTATTCACCTTATCCCCCAGAGTTAGATAAGTCCATACATACCTTTTTCATCTCCGTGCGTGCTATAAGTCTGTTTGAAGCACCCACCGCTAGCCTAGCTTAGCACAAAGACTGGATGTAAATGGTTGCAGCTAGCATACTAATCCAAATAAGTGACAAAATAACGCAAACATTTTCCTATTTACATGTTGTGATTTGTATAGTCACAGAGTGTACAAAAAACAAAGTCACATGAGACACAGACATATTTTAACCGTATAAATACTGGGAACTATATTCTCTGAAGGCGAAGCACTGCTACTCGGGCGGAGTGATAACCGCAGCACCTGAGACGCGCCGTGGTGAGGAGCAGAGAGCGCGTCTCAGGTGCTGCGGTTATCACTCCGCCCGAGTGGGTGCGTCAAACAGACTTATAGCACGCACGGAGATGAAAAAGGTATGAATGGACTTATCTAACTCTGGGGGATAGGGTGAATAGGCTAAAGTCCCAAAAAGTCGGAGTGTTCCTTTAACCCATAAGTCTTTTGTTCATCTTTGGAACACAAATGAAGATGTTTTTGATGAAATCTGAGAGATTTCTGTCCCTCCATTGACAGCTACGCAACTACCTCTTTGATGCTTCAAAAAGTTCATAAAGAGATCTTAAAACTAATCCATATGATTTGAGCGGTTTAGTAAACATTTTCTGAGGAGACGCGATCGCTTTATATGATGATGAACAGATTGAATTTCGTTTTTTTCACTTATAAACATCCATCGGCGAGAACAAACCTCTTGCAGAAGCTCAAACGTGCTGCGTAACACAAGAATGAACCTCATTGGTTCTTGCTGAACTTCAAACGTGCTGCGTAACACGAGAATGAACCTCATTGGTTCTTACAGAAGCTCAAACGTGCTGCGTAACACAAGAATGAACCTCATTGGTTCTTGCTGAACTTCAAACGTGCTGCGTAACACTAGAATGAACCTCATTGGTTCTTACTGAAGCTCAAACGTGCTGCGTAACACTAGAATGAACCTCATTGGTTCTTGTTGAAGCTCAAACGTGCTGCGTAACATGAGAATGAACCTCATTGGTTCTTGCTGAAGCTCAAACGTGCTGCGTAACACTAGAATGAACCTCATTGGTTCTTGTTGAAGCTCAAACGTGCTGCGTAACACGAGAATGAACCTCATTGGTTCTTGCTGAACTTCAAACGTGCTGCGTAACATGAGAATGAACCTCATTGGTTCTTACTGAAGCTCAAACGTGCTGCGTAACATGAGAATGAACCTCATTGGTTCTTGCTGAAGCTCAAAAGTGCTGCGTAACATGAGAATGAACCTCATTGGTTCTTACTGAAGCTCAAACGTGCTGCGTAACATGAGAATGAACCTCATTGGTTCTTGCTGAAGCTCAAAAGTGCTGCGTAACATGAGAATGAACCTCATTGGTTCTTACAGAAGCTCAAACGTGCTGCGTAACACGAGAATGAACCTCATTGGTTCTTGCTGAAGCTCAAAAGTGCTGCGTAACATGAGAATGAACCTCATTGGTTCTTACTGAAGCTCAAACGTGCTGCGTAACATGAGAATGAACCTCATTGGTTCTTACTGAAGCTCAAACGTGCTGCGTAACATGAGAATGAACCTCATTGGTTCTTACTGAAGCTCAAACGTGCTGCGTAACACGAGAATGAACCTCATTGGTTCTTGCTGAAGCTCAAAAGTGCTGCGTAACATGAGAATGAACCTCATTGGTTCTTACTGAAGCTCAAACGTGCTGCGTAACATGAGAATGAACCTCATTGGTTCTTACTGAAGCTCAAACGTGCTGCGTAACACGAGAATGAACCTCATTGGTTCTTGCTGAAGCTCAAAAGTGCTGCGTAACATGAGAATGAACCTCATTGGTTCTTACTGAAGCTCAAACGTGCTGCGTAACATGAGAATGAACCTCATTGGTTCTTGCTGAAGCTCAAAAGTGCTGCGTAACATGAGAATGAACCTCATTGGTTCTTACTGAAGCTCAAACGTGCTGCGTAACATGAGAATGAACCTCATTGGTTCTTGCTGAAGCTCAAAAGTGCTGCGTAACATGAGAATGAACCTCATTGGTTCTTACTGAAGCTCAAACGTGCTGCGTAACATGAGAATGAACCTCATTGGTTCTTACTGAAGCTCAAACGTGCTGCGTAACATGAGAATGAACCTCATTGGTTCTTGCTGAAGCTCAAAAGTGCTGCGTAACATGAGAATGAACCTCATTGGTTCTTGCTGAAGCTCAAAAGTGCTGCGTAACACGAGAATGAACCTCATTGGTTCTTGCTGACGCTCAAAACGTGCTGCGTAACATGAGAATGAACCTCATTGGTTCTTGCTGAAGCTCAAACGTGCTGCGTAACACGAGAATGAACCTCATTGGTTCTTGCTGACGCTCAAACGTGCTGCGTAACACGAGAATGAACCTCATTGGTTCTTGCAGAAGCTCAAAACGTGCTGCGTAACATGAGAATGAACCTCATTGGTTCTTGCTGAAACAAAAGTGCTGCGTAACACGAGAATGAACCTCATTGGTTCTTACAGAAGCTCAAACGTCCTGCGTAACACGAGAATGAACCTCATTGGTTCTTGCTGAAGCTCAAACGTGCTGCGTAACACGAGAATGAACCTCATTGGTTCTTGCAGAAGCTCAAAACGTCCTGCGTAACACGAGAATGAACCTCATTGGTTCTTGCTGAAGCTCAAACGTGCTGCGTAACACGAGAATGAACCTCATTGGTTCTTGCAGAAGCTCAAAACGTCCTGCGTAACATGAGAATGAACCTCATTGGTTCTTGCTGAAACAAAAGTGCTGCGTAACACGAGAATGAACCTCATTGGTTCTTGCTGAAGCTCAAACGTGCTGCGTAACACGAGAATGAACCTCATTGGTTCTTGCTGAAGCTCAAACGTCCTGCGTAACACGAGAATGAACCTCATTGGTTCTTGCAGAAGCTCAAAACGTGCTGCGTAACATGAGAATGAACCTCATTGGTTCTTGCTGAAACAAAAGTGCTGCGTAACACGAGAATGAACCTCATTGGTTCTTGCTGAAGCTCAAACGTGCTGCGTAACACGAGAATGAACCTCATTGGTTCTTGCAGAAGCTCAAACGTGCTGCGTAACACGAGAATGAACCTCATTGGTTCTTGCAGAAGCTCAAACGTGCTGCGTAACACAAGAATGAACCTCATTGGTTCTTGCAGAAGCTCAAACGTGCTGCGTAACACAAGAATGAACCTCATTGGTTCTTGCTGAACTTCAAACGTGCTGCGTAACATGAGAATGAACCTCATTGGTTCTTGCTGAAGCTCAAACGTGCTGCGTAACACGAGAATGAACCTCATTGGTTCTTGCTGAAGCTCAAACGTGCTGCGTAACACGAGAATGAACCTCATTGGTTCTTGCTGAAGCTCAAACGTGCTGCGTAACATGAGAATGAACCTCATTGGTTCTTGCTGAAGCTCAAACGTGCTGCATAACACGAGAATGAACCTCATTGGTTCTCACACGTCAAGTGAACATGCTTGAGTTTCCGTTTGCCACAACTGATGTGTGAGTTGATGGATGTTTATAAGTGAATGGAAGCCTAAATTAAATCTGTTGATCATATAAAGCGATCGTGACTCTACAGAAAATTCGGACTAAACCGCTGAATTCATATGGATTAGTTTTAAGATCTCTTTATGCACTTTTTGAAGCATCAAAGTGGTAGTTGCGTAGCTGTCAATGGAGGGACAGAAATCTCTGATTTTATCAAAAAGATCTTCATTTGTGTTCCGAAGATGAACAAAAGTCTTACTGGTTTGGAACAACTTGAGGGCGAGTAATTAATGACAGAATTTTCATTTTTGGGTGAACTATCCCTTTAAGCCTTGTCTGTGAAACCGGGAGCCACTGTTTTAATCATTTCTGATGTGTTTTCAGAACGGCACCAGCTTTCATGTGTTCGACCAAGGAAGGTTTTCCAAAGAGGTTTTGCCGAAATACTTTAAGCACAACAACATGGCCAGTTTTGTTCGCCAGCTCAATATGTGTAAGTATACGAGCAGCGTCTGTTTAATCATTTGTACATTTTGACTACATAATAGACCTAATCGACCAACCCAGATGATGTCATTATGCTTTGCACCTTAGACAATATGTATGATGTTTTGTGCATAATAGTTAGTTTTACATCCTGAATGTTTAGAATAAATGTTTAGGTTGATATTAACACTCTGAAACTTTTGCGTGCAGTCAACGTGAAAGGTTTTGATTTGTTATATGTTCAAAGTCAATATATTCTGTCAAGTCAATTTATTTGTTTAGTCATTTTCACGATACTCATTGTTTCAAAGTTTTATAATGTTAATGCCTATTTGTCCACATTTAGCTGTTTAGAGTCATTGTATTATTGTTAATAATAATACATTTTATTCATAGAGCACTTTTCACATTTTAACTGTTTTATGTTTTTCTAGATGTCTCATTAATTTGCAAGCAGAAAACATTTAAATAGGACCTATTATGCCCCTTTTTACAAGATATAATGTCTCCGGTGTCCCCAGAATGTGTCTGCGAAGTTTCAGCTCAAAATACCCCACAGATCATTAAAAAAGTCCCAATTTTTTAATTGAAGCGAAAACATGCAGTTTTCGTGCATGTATCTTTAAATGCAAATGAGCTGCTTCTCCCCTCCCCACTTTCCAGAAGGGGGCGGAGCCTGTACAGCTCGTCCCTCTGTCCGAATACTCTGCCAAAAACGAACAAAACAGGTTATCTCAATCTTGTGACATTGCAGTTCTTTGTCATCATGAAAGTTTATTATTTGCATGAGTTTTAAAGCCATATCAGTTTAAACTTCTGATATATGGTTTTCTGAGCGCACACATCTGAAGCAGACAGCGTGTGTTGCGTGAGTATTAAACTAAGTTCTCCTTTACGTCTTATTGCACTTAAACTGTCAAATACACAAAAGTTTGTCAAAAATACGCAAAGTTCGCCTAAACACAGTCGGTTATGTCCGTATATTGTGTGTGTATATTAGACCTGTGTATTAAAGTGACAGGAGCGTAATACCGCTGTTACAGTTTTTCTCGATTGCTTAAACACTATAACCAGGCTTTTGAACTAAAATTTCAAAACCATAATGCCATTTATCAAAAAGCACACCCATTTCACTGAACTATGAACACTATTCCCCTGTTTTGACACATTAGTCAGATTTTTTGAACTGTCACAGCAAAACTCTACACACAAATCCCTTCATTTCTCATTGCCTACAACACGTGGTCATTTAGAAAGCACTAGCATTCAAAATTGTTCACTCAAGTCAGCACAGCTTCAGCTCAGTTAGCACACAATTACCCAGGTGAAAACACTAAGAGTCAAAATTGAACACACATCAGTCAGATCCTTCAATAGATAGATAAAAGGTTATACAATCTTTTATAAAAGATAAAAATCAGCTTACTGAGTTTTGGAACAATGGATCCACAGAGAAATTAAGCAATAGGTCGAGGAGGGGGAGGGAGAGGAGGAAGAGGAGGAGGAAGAGGAGGAGGAGGAGGAGGATGAGGAAGAGGTGGAGGTGGAGGAAGAGGAGGAGGAGGAAGGGCAAGAAGACAAGCAGTCTCGGATGAAATTCAAGCCACTTTAGTTGGCCATGTCCTTGTCCATGGTATGACTATGAGGGAGGCTGGGCCACGAGTACAGACAAATTTGAGTCGCTTCACCGTCGCCTGAACGTCGCTTCACCATCATCAGAACCTTCAGGGAGGTGTGGTGGCAAACAGATTTCTATCACTGAATAAGAGACAAACATTTCCAATTGTCTTTGATGAGGTTTATGTTCTTGCAAGAAAAGGCCAGCAGTCGTACAGTCACACAGAGTGGCTGCAGAGTGTGACAGTGAAGGGAGGGCATCCTTTCTCCTTTATAGTCTTGACTCCCAGAATGTTATCTTTCTAGGCCAATGATGGTATTTAACCATATGTGGAACATTCTTAGACTTGTTTATCATATTGTATCCTTGAGTGGAGGCATGTACCAAAACTCTTTACCATTCCAATACAATTCCATATTTGAATAAGGTTTGTGTGTGCTCTTTTACTGTCATATGATGCTCACACACATCTTGAGTAGAAGCGAGTAAAAAAAAAAGATGGATGGACCACAAGCAACATGACTTACCAGTTTTGGAAATGTTGTTTTGAATTTATAGCACCAGTGTGTAAGACTATGTTGTAGTGTGTGTGTTTTTGAGGGCTTGTGTGTCCTGTCTGAGGGCAAAGTTTGGTTTTTCAGCAAGAGTGAATGGTTTTGAATGTAGAGCTTCATTTTGACCTGAAAATAGGATGTTTGGGGAATTGGGTGAGACGTTATGGATTTGTGTTTACTGTTTTGAGAATACGAGGCATAGTTTCAAGAAATGTGTTTAAGCAATCGAGAAAAACTGTAATATGAACCTAACGATATAAGAAAAACAGAAAATCACTCCCTGCTCTTGATTGAATAACTTTAGTAGCTTTAATAAGAAAACATTTCTTACTTGAATACTGCTGTTAAATGCTCTGACGAGGAGATAAAGGTGGCGGACTGTGTACAGCTCACTGAGGGGCGGGGCTAAGCTAATAGGGCAGATTCCATCTTCAGTTTTGGGCGGGGCCTAAGCATATGTGATGTCACATTGGAGCACATTCCTGAACGGCTCATTTTAAAGGTGCTCTAAGTGATGTTGGTTGACGTTCGAAGTATTGTCAAACAAAACAGAGACTAGCTAGACCCCCCCTCCTCCTCATCCGCGCACTAACCCCCCCAAACCCCACCCCCAAATCCTTCTTGTCGGTTATTGGCTGGAACAGTTTGTTATGTTTTCGTGGTACGGGTTGGCACAGTTTGTTTTTGTTGCTGTTTGTGGAGCCTGGGGTGTCTACAGAGACCGCGTTTCTTTACAGTGTGTTCTGGGGACAGGCAGCTAGCGGATAGTGAGGAGATGTTTGCTGTATTTGACAAAAATTGTTTAATTACCGGACATTGGCCGAGAAAAAAATTAAATGTCCGACGAAATTAAATCTCTCCGGTCAAATTGTCAGATTAAAATTGCGTAATAATCCCGCCCCCCTAACACAATATGAATTTGAGAATAAGCCTAAAATGTATTAGCAAAAATACACCGACCTTTGGCTATGTTATAAAGGAACAGGCTCTACCGTTTGATATTAAACAACATCGCATGCTGCATTTCAAATAAAGCGCACGCCTAAACCTGCTGTAATATAGACCTAAACAACGAACGATTGAGTGAGACGTTTCAAATATGGCCAGGCCAGGCTAGCCTTAAAAGCTTTTTTCAGAGGCCAGACGCGACAGACGATGGTGAATCAGGAACATGTCATTATATAGATCAGTGGTTCTAATCCGCGCACTCGTAGGCTACAGTTTTTTTTTTTCTCTCATCAAAACTGAATAGCCTATGTTCATCATTGGTTACAGCCTATATCAAGCAGGGACACGTTCGTCTGCATTTTATTTTGTGATTTCACCGGAATGAGTAGTCTCCGCAACGGCGATAGATTGAAACACGCGTCCGAGTGAAGATTGCGCAACTCGAGCAGCGCGTCGTCCATGCAACTGATAGCAGTGGAGCGCTCAGCTTGATTTCAAAAACAACAGATTTTAGCTCTAGATCTCTTATTTAATAGCAAACTAAATGAACAGTGTTGTGTGTAACGCGTTACAAAGTACAGTAACGTAACTACTTTTTCGTGTAAAAAGTAGTGTAACGCGTTACTACTGAAAATTTGGTAACGAAACGTAGTTCCTTTTTCAATTTCGCACAACGTTAGTTTTCCCATGGACAGATTTGACAGCAACACTGTCTCCTCAGCTGCGCGCTTGCAATAGTCACAAGCTCCACATGGTACGTGACAGAGGCTGGTAGCATAGCAATCAATTCTGTGAATTACACTGCGCAAACCAAAAGTAATACTCCCACCGGATGAAGAAGGGTTGGCGCTCCACAGAACATAAAATATTAATTGTATTGAATTTTTCGTGTTCGCATTTATGAGGAAAGAAACAATGTTATGGACGTAACAGTTCTTCGGACTTGACCGCTCTGAAAGCGGCACTAAAAGACTGCTTTAAATCTTTTACAGAGACCTCAAACAGGCATTTAAAACACCAAATATTAAGGATTGGCATATCAAGCAAAATAATATTCGATGATTGCTCGAAAATCGTACCTCTACCCCCACATGCTTATAAGACGGCGTTCGCTCAAATCCCGCTCCGATATAAAAATTTCTCTGTATAGACCTGCGTGTTGTAGCCTAGTCATTAAAGAAAACGATTTAGTTTCATATTTATGTTTAAATAAAATAATTTATTTTTTAATTTTATCAATGTTGATTATATGAAAAGTGAAAAGCATGAGTAAGAGCATAAGATGCGCAATCGGGAGACAAATGGAGTGGGCAGACATGATTTTGACCACTTCATTAAGTTTGTTTTTGTAGAAAGCCTTTCTTTAAAGTGAATTTCGTTTTGTATTAATTGTATCTTCTTAATTTGAATAAATGTTTCATCAACCAATTGTCTTATTTTAAGCAGTAACTTTAAATAAGCAGTAAATATAGCAGGCAATATAATCAGGACTTCTCAGGAGGTCCTCGCCGGCGCGTGGACTGAGCTCGTCTCATAAATGAACCGAAACTTAGCGCAAGCTACTTGCCTCAAAGATCTGAGAAATATATAGAAAGCTTGAAATGTGTACTTTAAAACAAAACTATTCAAAACGAGAGAAAACAGACTCTCTGCTTATGTAATCCATATGAAATGTGCATTTCTCTCTGGCGCGTTCACTACTGTGAAGATCGCGAGTCAGCATCGTCAACTTTATCTTTGCAGCCGACACTGACTGACAAAGAAAACACTTGTTTATTAATAAACAATTGAAATGTCTCCTTGCTATATTTGATATTCGATATTCATAATCATTTCTTTTGCCGGTTCTTTGTGACATTTTTCATGAACGCGTCACCACCGCTCAATAGTTAATATTGTGCTTTGGTGTTCAGTTTATACAGGTTTTTCAAATGTTATTTAAATAAATATATATATTTTTTCTATCTCAAAATCTCTCCTTTTTTTTAGGTTTTTTTTTCTAGTTTTTCAATAAGTAGCCTAGAGTTCATGGTAGAATTTTATGTAGGCCTACACATTTAGGAACAGATATTGGGTTCTGCCCAAAGTCAAGCAACATAAAAGTAACGTAAAAGTAACGAGTAACATAAAAAGTTACTTTCCAAAGGGGGTAACTAAGTAAAGTAACGGATTACTTTTTTAAGAAGTAACGAGTAACGAGAAAACACTACTTTTTAAAAGTAACTTCCCCAACACTGTAAATGAATGATCTGCTAGTTAAAGGGATACTTCAGGATTTAGCATTAAGCTTTGTATTAGTAGGAAACCTGTAGTATTTTCAAATTACCGTGTTTTCCACCCTCATATCCCCCTGAGACGAGAGATATATGTATTTTTTGTCAGGAAAAAATCCTCCGATGACGCAAAAATCGTCATTTTGCGTCATCGGAGGATTTTTTGGCCAGAGGCTAAAGACTACAGCCAGTAGTAGAGGCTGTCCCGCATGTTCTCAACCCGCCCATAGAGGGTGGGATCTCACTCACAGAATGTACACACAGTGTCAGCCATCTTTTTCTGGAAGCTAAGCTAAGCTAGCAGGCTCTTGTTCTGTGGAGAAAGCTGAGTAGTAGGGGTTACCATCCTCTTTTTCCCGGACATGTCCGGCCGTCGAGATCGTACAAAATGTCCTGAAATCAGCTTTTGCTTTCTGCAGTCGCCATTCATTGTTTACATGCACACCTTTTGTTTCAATCTAACTGAATTCATTCCGATTGGTGAATCTGAATGTAGTGTTTACATAACGCTAAACAAGTGATCGGTTGATGTGCGTTTTAACATTGCTAAGAAAATTCCCGCTCCTCCGTGAGAGATACGGTGCGTCTCACAGGTGTCTCTCATCGGTAATCACGCCACCGGCCTCGTGCCGTTCTCCCGCGGCCCTAGCCTCGTCCTGCTCGCCACAGTAAACATGATGAATGGCGACTGTAGAACGCAAAAGCCGAATCCCGGACATTTTGGGCGATCTCGAAATCCCGGGCAGACTCATCACGGAGACTCACTAGTAGCCTAGACTTGTTGTTTAACTACTGCGCTCTGTTACCGGTAGGCGTGGCCTCCTAGGGCAGCGAAGCAAGTGCATTCTGGGAGTTGTTGTCTTTCATCCACATAAGCCAAAAATACCTTATCTGGCTTTTCTCAGTCTAGAAAGCTCCAAATTAAAAAATAATTTCACATTTCTTCTACATAAATGACCCATTTTAAATACACATCCATCTTTCCAGAGGTGAAGTATCCCTTTAACTGGAGATATTTTATTTATTTGTATTAGGTACATCCGTGCCTCAATGTTTCAAAAAGTGAATGTGTGTGAAACCATAGTAAAAAATAATTGGTGTTGATTGACGCCAATCGGACGTTCATGTTTTTTCCCGTCTATTTGAAAGTTAGGCTAATAATAACATGTTGCATTCTATACGGCCTGATTATGTCATTTTTTAAGTTACATAGCCTCCCTCTAGTTTTCCTCAACTTGACTAATTAAGAGGCGATATTTGACCGGCATATCATCAAAATGTCCGTAAAACGAAAACGTCACTTTGACCGGCACCATTTTTTTCTAGCGGAAACTCTGGTACACACACTGGCACTGCAGACACACACATACGTTCAAAAACAAAATGCATTTTGTTTAGGCAACAATTTTGCCTAATAGGTCCCTTTCAACATGACAGAATTTGTGCTTACAACACACGTTAATGTCTTTCTTGTAGATGGTTTTCGGAAAGTTGTCCACATCGAACAGGGAGGGCTGGTAAAACCGGAGAAAGACGACACAGAATTCCAGCATCCGTATTTCATCCGCGGACAGGAGAATCTGCTGGAGAATATCAAGAGGAAGGTAACAACGGTAAGTAGAAACTTCTCTTATTTATTTGGGGAAATCTGCTTTTGCTGAAACATCTGAACCTCTTTGATATGAGAATATTTGAGCAGCATGGTCTCCAGGTTTTTATAATTAGTTGGTATTTTGGAGGGGTTTTTTTTTTAATCCAAAGCAGCTTAAAGTCAGGCTGAAGTTCATTTAGGCCACAGTTCTGATGTCAGACCAGTAATGCGGTATTAATTGGTCTGGGTTTTTAGGGGAGTCCCTGCTGCTCGTGTTTCACTTATAAATTAATATTTACCAGAATTATATTCTCCCACAGGGAAAACCTTAATAAAGTTGGATTACAAATGAACTTTTCTTACTGAGCAGAGGCTTTTCCAACATTACCTGTAGTTTGTAATGTAGATGTGCAGCTGGCAGAGAAGGCTTTCTTCTGCTTTTTTCTTCATTTTTTTTCTGTCATGTACACTTGATTGATTTGACTGATATATTTGCCATTTTCTGGTTTTTAATAAAGGTTTTTCAAACTAGGGTCCAGAATTATTTTCAAAATATTTCAAATGTTGTTGTTTTTTTACACGTCAAATTTAACATGTTATCTTTAAACATATTTTATGGAGTAATTTGTATCATAAATTTGATATATCCTAAATATCCTAAAAAATTTGATCCTATTCTTATTTATAAACACTGGCCAGAAATCATTAGATTAATCATAAATCAGTTAATTGTATTCGTTGACAACGCTAGTGTGTAACAGTCAGAAAAAACCCCACAAATCTGCATATAGTTGTCTGTATAATATCCCATAATATAACATAACTTGTATAATCACATCATGTCTTTGCACATGAAACTATGTAGCTGCCTTTGCACTCTCATTGTTTTTTTTTCCGGGTCCTTGCTGTTTAAAATAGTGAAAAATATGTAAATAATAAGCTATAGTTTAAAAAGTCGCTGTTTGTAACTATATGTCCTATTTACTGTAGATACTGTATATATATTATTACTGAAGGAATATATATAGAACAAGTAATTACATCAAGTTTAGATGTGTTCAATGAAATTTTATTTCATGAAATCTGAAGCTCATTTCATGAAATCAGATATTTTTTGTGCAAATTTGAGAAAATGGAAGAAAAACCAAACCATTTAAAACAAAAAAAACACTCCAATTCTGTTTGTAAATCTGCGGTTTGGATTTTTCCAGTCCTCGGCGTGCAGAGTCTGGTGATGGGTAGCCAGATCCAGTGAAAGTGTTTTTGCTCGCGATGGTTTCCATGTGCTCTGCCGGGTTTCCTCGGTGTCCCTGTTTCCCGTTGGCTCGGTGACAGATTGTGATAATCAGCAGGTCTGAGAGGAAGCCAGCTGGAGACGTGTGGATTAGAGGCCCGAGGTTCTGGGGCACTTAATCTGGCGTCACACTGATGCTCGATCGCCGCCACTTTCCAACCCTCCAGATTTATAGTCTTTCCTCTCCCGCTCTGTCCAAATGTCCAGCTCAGGGCGGAAATCAAACCGTTAGCACATGCTTTCCACTACGTGAGTGAGGGTTCAGAAACGGGTCATGACGGACTCCTCTCACCCCTCCAATCACATGCAGTGCATATCTCCATCTTTGACGTTTTCATTGTGTCCATCTCCAGGTGTCGAATATTAAACACGAGGACATCAAGTACAACTCTGACGACGTGTCTAAAATGATCACAGATGTCCAGCTCATGAAGGGCAAGCAGGAGTCGATGGACTCCAAAATCAGCACCCTCAAACAGTAAGTCACGCAGCACGTACACTACCGGTCAAAAGTTTCGAAGAATTACAGTTTTTTTTATGTTTATGCTTTTGAAAGAGTCTATTCTGCTCACCAAGACCGCATTTATTTGATCAAAAATACTGTAAAAACAGTAATTTTGTGAAATATTATTACAATTTATTAAAAAAGTATTAATGTATTCAGCAAGGACACATTCAATTGATCAAAAGTGACAGTAAAGATATTTATAATGTTACAAAAGATTCTATTTCAAGTGAATGCTGTGCTTTTTAACTTTCTATTCATCAATGAATCCTGAAAAAATTCATTCTTGAATCAGCATATTAGAATTATTTCTGAAGGATCATGTGACACCGAAGACTGGATGATGATCACACTAATAAATTACAGTTTTTACAATATTCAAATAGAAAACAATATTCCTGTTTTTATTGTATTTTTCATCAAATAAATGAAGAGAAAGGTAGAGTAGGTTTGGCCAAAACACATGATTTCCACTGGTTTAGTTTAGTGTCTAAATTGACTTTAAAGGGATAGTTCACGCAAAAATGAAAATTGTTTTAATTTTTCTTCTGCTGAACACAAAAGATGATGTCATAAACCAGACAGTTTACAGTAGCCATTGGCTTCCATGGTACTTTTTTTCCATACAATGGAAGTCAATGGGGTCCATCAACTGTTTGCTAACCCATATTCTTCAAAATATCATCTTTTGTGTTCAGCAGAAGAAAGAAACTCAGACAGGTTTGGAATAACTTGAGGGTGAGTAAATGATGACAGAATTGTCATTTTTGGGTGAACTGTCCCTTTAATGAAGTCCGTGTTTGACTGATGCAGCGGTTGGCTAGTTGACAGCCAAGCGGTTAGTGCTCATCCAGTGTTACGCCTGGTTGCCATCAATAGCTGTTCAAAGTGTAACGCTTAGGACGTGAATGAGGCTTAATCTCTGCCGGGTTTGTGGCCGCTCATTAATGTTTCACCTTTTTCAACCCTGTTAGTCATGGCTCGGAACGGGCAGGCGTCCTCACGCCAGTGTGACGTGGCTCGGCAGCTGCTCTGAGCTTTACCAAAGGCATTTAGTCCCTTTCACTCTCGCAGCTGGACGGGTCTCTCGGGTTTTGGTCACGTGTTTGTGCGGTCAGCTGGTACACGCAGGCTGAATATTACTGATGATGTCAGCATGAAAGCATCACCCCTGCAATAATGAGTCCTCTGAATTGGTTACAAATTTCTGAAATCCGACAAATCATCTTAAATTTTTTTTAATAAATTAAAGTCAGTCTATCTCATGTTCCAGGACCTTATTGAGTATGTTTTAAAAAAAATTTGTTAATTGATTGTAACATGTCAAATTAAAGAAATTTAAAGGAATGTAATGTTAAAAATATTTAAATTAATTTATTATTTATTTCAAATATATTTTTTGTGCTGTATTTGTGTAAACTAAACTAAAGGCTAGTTTATTAGAGCTGCATGATTGCGTTTTTTTTTTTTTTTTTGCTTAAAGGTGCTCTAAGCGATGTCACGCGTTTTTTAGGCCAAAACATTTTTTGTCACATACAGCAAACATCTCCTCACTATCCGCTGGCTGCCTGTCCTCTGAACACACTGTAAAGAAACGCGATCTCTGTAGACAGCCCAGGCTCCACAAACAGCAACAAAAACAAACTGCAGCGACCCGCTCCCCGAAACATAACAAACTGTTCCAGCCAATGACCGACAAGAAGGGTTTGGGGGGTTAGTGTGCGGATGAGGAGGAGGGAGGGTCTAGCTAGCCTCCGTTTTGTTTGACAATAGTTCGAACGTCAACAAGAAGTGACGTCACCCAGGATCGCTTAGAGAACCTTTAAAAGAGAGATCACGATTCTGAATAAACAAAATAACATGACATTTATTAGAAACATTTCTGGAAAAATGTTAATTGGTGCAGTCTATTTTAAAATATTTTATCAATTTGAATGAATTACTTAGTTTTTTTAAATTAAATGAGTGATTCAATGACTCTTTTATAAAGACTTCACTTGTTTCATTACTTGATGAATGAGTATTTTTAAACAAATAAGTTGAACAAATGATTCTGGTGTAATGATGTAACTGATACAATCTTGACAATTTGAAGCGTCAAGTTACTTTCAAAAGGTGTTTTACTCTATTTTGATCGCTACCGTAGACATCAGTGTTTATATCCAATCTAAACTTGTATCACAGTACTTGGGTGACAATCTGAATATTTGCAAAAACAGAAATAATGACACTGGTTTGTGAAGCTGTTTCATATCTATATATGATAACTGCAGATCTGAATGTTCTGGTGTGATTTTGTCAATGGTTTAATAGACACTGTCATTCAGGAATAAGATCACATGGATGTTTGAATCAAGATTGCGACCTTTTAATGATTATTCGTGCAGCTCTATTCATAAATCAAGTTATATAGCGTTCATAATGCGTTTATTGCAAAATTTCCGGATTAAAATCTACAATTACTCACGGTTAACTTTAAAAAATATATTTTTTTATTTCCAATCTTTTTTTTTTGTTGGGAAAGTGTTTTGGCATGCAGGATGTTTTGAAGGAAATTGCCTCCAGTTTGTGTCTTTCTGAGTAAATGGAGAGGGGTCTAAATCCTCCTGTTACAGGAATCCACACCTGCCCCTGTAAACCCCCGTCCCATCTGCTGAGGGGTGAGCGGGGGGGCAGGACACATGATCGGAGGAGGGACTCTTAAAGAGCTTCTTCCTGCACGCTGCTGTTTTACAGGCGCAGCTGAGTCCTCTCATAATCTCCATATAAGAGACCCGTCCGCAGGGAGTCCACGGCCCTCTGATGTCACATCACCTGTGCCTCAAATTTACACTGAAAAAATCAATTGGATTTACTTTGAAACCATTTTCACTCAGAAATTGCTCCCAAATTTCACTGATAATTTGAAAAACTGCAAGCAACACATTGAATTAAATTAAGTAGAAAGACTGAAATAGTATTTTCTAATAAAACATTTTATTTACATCTTGCACTCAAACCATTTACATAATATATGTACTTTTTATATTTCTTAAATGTATAGTTTACTTAGTGAAATCTAAGCATTGTTCAATTAGTTTATAATGTATTTTATAGATTTATTATATCATGAGATGTAAAATCATATGTATAAATAGCTTTTATCATGTGTATATTTCTATTTGCACTATTTATAATTTGTACAATAACTTATTTATGTATATATATATATATATATATATATATATATATATATATATATATATATATATTTGATATTTTTGAGGTCGATGTAGTGAATAAATTAAGTTTTAGGATTTTAGGACTTTTAATACATTTTTATTTTATTTTTTCTAGTTTAAATAGTTTAGTTATTGATTTACATGTTGTATTTTTCACTTTTTTTGTTTTTGCCATGAATATAGCTGTTATCTGGTATTATGCTAAATTATAAACCCTGAAACAAAACATATATACGGGTAAAGTTTCCTATATTTTGCGCTTCCTAAGCAGATCAACGCAGCTGTGCTGAAGGAAGGACCGTACATAGACCATAGGTTTTTATTTTTAGCTTTTGTGTCTTTAAAAAAAAAATGTTCATGATTTCAAATATCCGTTTATTCGTAGGAGTTCTCTGGCTTTGTTGTGTTGTTTTTTCCATGCACACCAGTGTGATGTCCAGTATTAGCCTGTGCTGGTCTGTGTTCAGGCCGTGTGTCTGTGGCCATATTGGACTCGTGAGCGCACTTAAAATGGCATTTTATCAGTGTCAGGGGAGCCGAGTTTAAGAGAAGCAGGCCTTACTCAATCACCCTAAAGAAACACCAGTCAGTGACGCTTACAAAGATTAGTGCTCTCGTTCGCTGTGATTGAAACATCAGAACATGAATGAAAAATGTAAAACTTGATTAAGTTTGTCTGTCTCTGTCCCGCAGTGAGAATGAGGCGCTCTGGAGGGAAGTTGCCACTCTGAGACAGAAACACTCTCAACAGCAGAAAGTCGTCAATAAGGTAAACTCCGATGAACTTTCTCCTGCTTTCAGAGTGACGCATGTCTTTGTTCCTCAAAGTATTTGAACTTTCTGCTTTTGCAGTTCATTCCAGCCTCACAGGCAACCTTTAACAATTAAAGCATCGCATTTTACCTCCATAATATGACAAATTTAGGTGTAAAATGGTCATTTTGCAAACACATTTAAAATGGTTTGGTAGTCTATTTGTGTGTCTTATAGTCTTTTATTTACAATATGTAAATATTTAATGTCAGTTAAATGCATGTCAAGCTGTAATTCTTTCTTTGTTGCTACAGCTCATTCAGTTCCTGATCACTCTTGCGCGGTCCAACAGAGTCCTGGCAGTGAAACGAAAGATGCAAGTCCACCTCAGATTCAAACATTCAGACTGATCCACATTTATATCTGTCACTGTCTTCCTATTTAAAGAGGACCTATTATGCTTTTTTTACATTTTCAACCTCTTTTAGTGTGTAATGTTGCTGTTTGAGCTTGAAAAAGGTCTTCAATGTTCCAAAGCAAAAAGTCACTTCCAAGGTAATTATTACTTATATCAGTGTGACACTGTTTCTGAACTCCCTGAAACGCCTCCATTGAAGTCTTGAGTTTTCTTCTGGGAACGAACGCGTCACAAAATAAATAATTCCCATCTAAGGCATATGCTGTAAAGTGGACGAGGCCTGGTTGAGTTAGTTAGTAACTTGAAACTTAAGGTTATGACAAGGGGCGTAACATTTCCAAAGTACGCTCGAAGTGGTGGACCAATCACAGCGCACTGGTCCAGCTGACCAATCAGAGCGCATTGAGCTTTTCAGCAGGATGGGCTTCGACAGACTGGGAAGAGAGGAGCTGCAACAATGGGGAAAATAAAGTGTTTTTTAAACTATTCTAATAGAGACCAAAAACAAAATCAAGACTTTCAAAAAGGGCATAATAGGTCCTCTTTACCTGTAGTATTGCAGTATGTGAAATTTTACAATTTTGAGGTATTCACCCCTTGTTTCTTGCCTCTTTATTTTTTGGGGGATTTTTCTTTCTCTTTCTTTCCTTCGTTCTGTTTGGTCACAGGCCCCTGATGTTGAACGATGGCAGCTCCACACACTCTCTGCCCAAATACTCTCGGCAGTACTCGCTCGAGTCGTCTCCTGCCATCTCTGTGAGTCCTGCATGCGTCTGTCTCAAACCGGGAGCTGGATTTACCAATGATGACCAGATTTGTTAAGTGTAATGTGTGTTTTCTTGTCTGCAGCCCTCCAGCACAGCTTTCACAGGAACGGGTGTTTACACCTCAGAATCGCCTGTGAAGACCGGGCCAATCATCTCTGACATCACTGAACTGGCGCAGTCCAACCCTGTGGCCACGGAGGAGTGGATTGAAGATAGGCAAGTTTATAGAGGCAATGAGTTAATCTCGCAAAACTGGTCAAGAAATTTATTTTAAACATTTTTATTTTTTTTAACAATAGTATATATATTTTTTTTAAATACTGTAATGCAAATCACAGTTGTATGTAATGGAAATTATGGTCATTCAATTTTGTTCAAAAATAATGTCACAATACACGTTTTCTTTATGCAAACTACAATTTCTAATGACCCTTTTTGCCTCTATATCGAAATCTTAAATATGTATGTTATCTGTTACGATTGCCTAACCTCATCAGAGCATGGTTGCATAGATTCATTGAATAGAAAGAGAATTTATGAAAAAAATGTCATTGCTGTTATTATAACAAGTCTCCTCTTTTCCATCAGAACAAGCCCATTGGTCCATATCAAGGAGGAGCCGTCTAGCCCCGCCCACAGTCCTGAGGTGGAGGAGGTGTGTCCTGTGGAAGTGGAAGTGGGGGCGGGATTGGGTGTACCTGTGGACACGCCCCTTTCCCCCACAACCTTCATCAATTCCATCCTTCAGGAGAACGAGCCCATCAGCGCCCCGACCCCGCCTCCCAGCGAGCAGAAGTGTTTGAGTGTGGCCTGCTTCGACAAGTGAGCTTGATCAACATGTGTACATCTGCTTAGAAGAAACAAACTACTGCTGCTCTGCTCAGTTTGAGTTGATAGACTTGCCGAGTACCAGTTTATTCCCCTAGCCTGCTTTCTTAGTGTGATCCTATAATGGATCCCGCTGGGATTGATCACTCAAAACTCAAAAGTGAAAGGTCTGTCATCATTCGCTCACCTTCATGTTGCTTCTGTGGAGCACAAAGAAGCTGTCTTCAATAGAGTCAAAGTGGATGGTGGCCTCTTTTTATGGCACTTTCATAATACATGTGAGAGTCAAAAGTTTGTTGGCAGTTTCTTCTTTTCTCCGTTCTTCTGCAGTGACTTCTTTTTTCCGACTGTATGCAAACAAAAATTCTCACATTTATCATAAACTTGATCATGTAAATAAAATTGCAAATGAGATTTGAAACCGAAGGCAAGGTTTTATGTGCTCACACAAAATGAGCAAAAATGGCCTTTATTGACACTTTATGGTGTGTTTTTTTTTGTCCTTTTTGTGGCTTAAACTTTGGTCACCATCCACTTTCATTGTATGGAAGAGAGCGTCCCATGCTTTCTGCCTTGCGCAAAAAAAAAAGGCAGTTTTTAATGAAATGGGTGAGTATTTAATGACAGGATTTTCACTTCTAGATTTTTTTTTTAATGGGCAAAATCAGAAAAGTTAAACTAATGAGCGTCTGCTTTTTTAAAGAGTCCTGCAGAAGCATTGCTCTTAACTAACTGTTCAGCCGGACTTGTTTGTGGCATTTGGCTGCTCGGTCTAGTCTGGCAGACTGGCATAGTGACACATACTAATACTTTTCCAGATATTCATGTGAGCCAGCACATTTCCAAATGACAATTCATCTTATGGCCCGTATGACACATAATTTGAGGGGCCCTTATTTATTTTATAAGTAATTAAAGTGGAGGCTAATGTATACTTTATTGATTTTTGATTTTCTTTGCAGATGAATGAAACCCATAACGTGACAGCACTATCTAGCATGAACGAAATGCCAAAATTATGCAATTGGGTTCCCTTGAAGACTAAACCTAAAATCTCTACATGAACTGAGTTTGATTACATTAGATTTGTACAGCAATTTAAAGCAAATCAGTCTAATTTAAGTAATTATTTGAAAATTAGGACTAATATGTGCTTAACTGGTTTTGGCAACTATATTGGTTCTGGTGGTTCACCTACACACAGATTGGCTTGAAGATCTAAGACTAGAGCTTATTAAAAGATATTATTTTTTTCAAAAGAGTTTGAGCTTTGTCCAAGAACATTCATTGAGGAAATATTTTTAATAATGCAGTTTTACAACCTGTATAACCATTCGGCAGTGTCTGGTGGCTTCGAAACACCTGGACTCATAAAAACCCAATTCAGAGGGATGTGTAATTCCTCTCCGCCTACATTGGCTCCAGTTCCCGCTCCACCCTGTTTTTGACTGTGGCAGAGGCCCGTTGATGTGTGTAGCGCATCTCCAGTACCATGTTGTGCTTCTGTCTTTTCAGTTATCCTCAGATGTCTGAGATCTCTCGCCTTTTCTCCAGCTTCTCCACCTCAGCTCTCCACCTCAGGCCTCCTCCCGGGTCAGCATTACAGTCGGCCGAGCCGTCCCCAGAACGTCTGACGCTGTGCTTGATCAGATAGATGCTAACCCCACTTAGCTTGTACTATCAGAGCTCTGGTTGCCATAAACATTTGCTCATTTCTGCCCCATTATACCTGAGAAACGTTGAATGCTGATTGGTCGGTGTGTTGGAGGTCGCAGAGAGCATGAATAGGGTATTCGTGGGCTCCTGAGCTTAACTTGAGAAGCGGAACGGCATGAAAGTGTGTCATGGCATTTGAACGAAGACGCATGTTTTGTGCTCCCATTGAAACTACCCAATCACACTTTGACCCCTGTTCCCTTCCTACCTCTGATTGGAAACTAATGTGATGAGGTCAGCAGCCCGGCCTCTCTCTATGACATCATCATCATCACCACAGTTTTGATCTTTCTGGGGACCGGCCTGTCTCCTGTTCTCATAGGAGTGTGTTCATTAAATGAGATTTGTTTGGGATTTGGCGAGTGGAATTGTCTGCTTTGTGTGCAGCATTTGAGAGATGATTTTCTTTGTTTCCTCTTTCTTTCAGGACAGAACTGAGTGATCACCTAGAGACCATTGACTATGGATTAGAGAACCTTCAGCAGATCCTCAATGCGCAGTCCATCAACTTTGACACCTCGCCTCTCTTTGACGTAAATATTGTTTGAATATAATTTTAAGAATTATCAAAAAGTGTGGAGTCAGTTAGATTTGTGTGTATATATAGCAATTCATTTGATTAGTTCTATATTACTGTATTCTTGATGTTGTTCTTGAGCAGTTTGCTTTGTTTCACAGATTTTCACATCATCTTCTGCTGATGTGGATCTGGACAGCCTGGCTTGTGTACGTTTGATGTTTGTTTCTTTCTTTTTTGTAAGGAGCTCACAGAATGAACAGAATGTAAAGACTTTGAACAAACCCGTCTGATCTGTTTAACAGAAAATATTTGCTGTGGTTTCAAACAACAGATGTATATCAGACAGCTAGAAGTACAGATGTGTAACTGCAGGTTCATGCAGTTTACTTTCACTTTAGAAAAAATATATACATTGCACATTGAGAATTTACCATATGCAAATGTTCATCTCAGGTCCCTAGAAAGACTTTTCGGTATTTCCTTTATTTGAAGGGGTGTGCATAAGACTGACATGACACTGTCATAAACATGACATAACACCTGTCATGAACATGAAGGAGTCTTTATGAATGTTTATGACTGTTGTCATTAAGTGTCATTCGGTAAATTATGACACTTTTAATGCAAAGTTGACATTGTTTAAAATGTTTTTGTTATGACAACTTTACATCAACAAAGACAGAAATGTCTTTATTATGACAACTTGACATTAACAAAGAAATCATAACCTGTCAACCTGTCACAAATATGTCATAACAGGTCTAATTATCAAACTTGAAGTTATTTAGCTTTGCGTTAACATTACATTACCCTGTCATATGTTAAAGCATTTGTCATATGTCATATGTTAAAGCATTTGACAGTGTAATAACCCTTAATGACATCTTTATAACTAGTACAATGTGTTCCACTTTACTTGAGGACAAGTAAAATATTCATGACACAGTTATAATGGTGTCATGACGGCCAAAGTCAAAACCAACCACATGACAGGGTAATGTAATGTTAACGCAAAGCTAAATAACTTCTTTAAGTTTGATAATTAGACCTGTTATGACATATTTGTGACAGGTTGACAGGTTATGATTTCTTTGTTAATGTCAAGTTGTCATAATCAAGACATTTTTGTCTTGGTTAATATCAAGTTGTCATAACAAAGACATTTTAAACAATGTCAACTTTGCATTAAAAGTGTCATAATTTACCGAATGACACTTAATGACAACAGTCATAAACATTCTAAAAGACTCCTTCATGTTCATGACAGGTGTTATGTCATGTTTATGACAGTGTCATGTCAGTCTTATGCACACACCTTCAAATAAAGTGTTACCGACTTTTCTCTAAAATTACCAACCCCGCTGACCATTGGTTAACATTTAATCTGCAGAAATCTGAGAAATTAATCTTTTAATCTTGTATCTGCGGTCTCTTTACAGATCCAGGATCTTCTGTCACCTGAACCAGTGAAAGAACCCGAATCTAGTGCAGACACTGAAAATTCAGGTATTCTGGATGTATTGTATTTTGAAGGGGTCATGACATGAGATATCAAATTTGTCTTGATCTTTTGACATATAAGAGTTCTTTGTACAATTAAAACATAATAGCGTAAAGTGTCATCTTCATTATAAACCAAAAATTTGTTTAATCAAGCTCCAAAAATGGCTCGTTTTGATATTGGATGACTCGTGACATCACACGGACAAATAAATTTGCATATGACCGATGCCTCCAGAGCAAGACATCGATGAATAGTTTAACATTATCGCATCATAGGCCCCGCCCACTGGCGTTCATTTGCTGAACGCTTGACATTTGCCTACACTGGACGTGAGCATCGTGTCAAAAGCAGAAAGAAGCCATTCCTAATCACTGACGCTGTCTACACTGATACAGTATACAGATGCGTGTTCAGTTTTTGACATACTTCACACACTGGAGTCTGTCAATAACCGGACAAATGGAGGAGTTAAAGAACATTTGCGTTGACGTGTCTAGTTTAAACTGCTCGTTTGTGTCTCTGTACAGACTTCAGAAGGATCCTGCATCAGAATCAAGTGGATGGTTTATATTAGTGGCGTCCTGTATCGCGTCGGAGGGTTATATGTTTGTGTTCGGAGCATTTGACTGTGAATTTTTGTAAACGAGGCACAGTGTAATGGAGATTTCGCAAAGCAACTTTTGTTGACAGATGAAGTAGTCCGCTGTATTGGTTCTGACAGCAGCCTCATCACAAATCATAATGCTTTGTCTGTAAATGACAGTTTTATGCAGATAATGTTCTCAAAACACTTACTCATGTGTGATAGCGAGTGGGCGTTGATACTGTTTCCTATGCAATGGCATTAGCTAATCATAACAGTGGCTGACAGAGGGTCAGAATGAGGGTTGAAAAGAATTGTTTTTACACACACACACACACACACACACACACACAAATATATATATATATATATATATATATATATATTGGGGCTGTCAGTTAAACACGTTATTAACGGCGTTAACGCAAACCCATTTTAACGGTGTACATTTTTTTTATGGCGCAATTAATGTGTTTGGCCCAGCAAACTTTGTAGTTTTTTTTCACATGCTTTTGCAACAGGACGCGGCATGCGTGGCGCTGTGCTGTGAAACCCATTCATTTGCGGATCTAGCTAGACCGGAAACAAAACAACAGGCACGCCGCACACACTTGTTTGGGCTTGCGAGCCGGCCAAATAGTAGGTTAACGTTACGTTTTGAGTGGATGACGAGTGCGAGACGCCGAAATGGATGCCAATAAGATTCTGAATGGAAAGTTTACTTTTAAAAAGTTGCCAAATGGTTCCATTGACGAGACCAAAGTGATCTGTGTGTTTTGTCGTTGTGAACTGAGCTATCATCATCGCAGCACGTCCAGTCTGAAACACCACTTGATGATGGCCAGCACACACACACACACACACACACACACACACACACACACACACACACACACACACACAGAGCTGATGCGAATTCTCCGCCCCCTCGTCAATATCAGGACCTCGTCAGTATTTCTTTCACCCTTTTATTGATGGACAGTGTTACATTGTGTGAGAGATTATTTGCTCCAAGTGAGAATGTTAGTGTGAAATTGAACACAGTATATGCCAATGTTGTTTTCAATAAAAAAACATTTGCACAAAGCAAGCCGATCCACTTTTCCATGTTGATAAGAGCATTAAAATGAGAAAAAAATAATGGGACAAAAAGAAATCAAGAGACATTTATAATAGATAAAAATGTGCGATTAATCGCGAGTTAACTATGACATTAATGCGATTAATCGCGATTAAATATTTAATCGTTTGAAAGCACTAATAAATATATGTATATGTATGTATGTTTATTTTGTGTGCAAAAAATCTTATTGACATTGTCACAAATCCATGTCACGACTCCTTTAAACACAAAGGCAGATATTTGGTGGTGTGAAGGGTTTTGGTGCCGCTAGCATGATCAACTGAAAATGCAAAAATAAATGTCCTTTCAGGCAAGCAACTGGTCCAGTACACAGCTCAGCCCGTGATTCTTCCCGACCCGGTCACGACTGAGACCTGCGACACCGACCTCCCCATCCTTCTGGAGCTGGAGGACGACTCGTATTTCGGCTCCGAACCATCCGAAGACCCCACCATCTCCCTTCTCGACTTCCAGTCCTCCGTACCTGAAGACCCCAAACTATCATAGAGAGAGATGCTTTTATAAAGGGATTTATGTCTGTGTGGGTTTTTTAAATTTGATTCTCTACATTTTATTTTTTTGGTCTTTTATTTAACACGTCAGGGCTAGCCGTCTGGTATTTCCCTTCACTTTTAGCCTGGGAAAAAAAAGTCTCTAAAAGCAATAGAGAAAATTCAGTATTCCTTCTGTCATGGAGTCAATATCTAAATAAGCTTTTATTTGTCGGCTCAGTAGTTTCCTTGTTATTCCAGCAGCGAGAGAACCTCAAACTAAATGTGTAGTGCTAAATATAATGTATCGAACACACTTCCTCCTGCTGTTTGTCCAGATTGGATTTGCAACAATACGCAGAGATCTATACTAAGCGACACTCTTGCAGTCTGTCACCACTGCGAAACTTCCAAAAACTTGTTGTAAATGCAGTTTCCTGCTTTTCATTATTTGATCTAATTATGTTGCAGTGTCCCCAGATTGTTGTATTCGATGACTGGTTCTCATCCCTGCTAAGTACGCCAAATTTTAAATTGCATTTTGCGTTTTTCATCTCATGGGTATTGAGGTAAAAAAAAAGGTATATAAATATTAAGAACATGCAACAAGCATCAGCGGTAACGTAAATGTGTCCAGCATCCCACCAACTGCTTTTAAAGCCATAGCTGTTACTCATCATACAGTGTCTGATCCTGGTTAGTGATGATGGGTATGTATTATGACGAGACCGGTTAAAGGTGCATATTTAGTGTCGGAAGAGATTTTAACGAGATGTTGAAAGTTCTGATTAGACAGCTAATGATGATGCTGTATAGAGGACGTATGTTTGAATAAATAGTTTGGATTCTGTTATTGATGTGTTTGTGCTGATGAAACAAACACATTTCAAACAGTCCTGAATTACACGATAGGTGTATTATATAATGACAGTTCATTTTTTGCATTGACATATGTACAATACATATTACCTGGGTCTGTATCTGACGATCTGATTTAAAGAATTTGTGCAATAATTCAACTCTTAACCAGCTTCAACACACTGCTTTCTTTTATCTCGTTTTTTTGTTTGTTTGTTTGTTTGTTTGCTTTGCTAAAGGAAGTAGAGAATATTATAGGAGAATCTTGTGAAGATCTTGGCTGGGCTTATTCCACCTAAAAAAAAATATAGGAAAATGTTTTCGCATTATGATGTTATTTTTTATGACAAGCTCGTTTTCTCACTAATTCCAAAAAGTAACAAATCACTTACAATTCCATGCAGATATTTTTAAATGAAGTTTAAAATGACAAACACTGACATATGAATTACACTTTTTAGTGTACTTTTCCATTTAAACCATTCATGGTCCTAAGAAAAAAACAGGCTTCATTTGATTTATGCAAAATATAAAAATTAAACTATAAAATATATTTTTTTCTTGTGATTTTGGTTAAAAGGTTACCCAGACCATTTTGTTAGATTCACCTATGTAAATTGGAAACCGAACTGAAATGGTATTTTTTGGTGTGATTTGTACTCATGCTATGACCTATAGACTTCTATCGTTCATCACTTGTTTGTTTTATGGATGGCCGGCGGCGCAGTAGAGGAACTGGGAGAGGAATGTCAATTGTTGGTGATACTCATCATTTTTAGTCATTGGATGACTGTCATAGCCAGAGAGACATTGATACTAGGCATAAATTATTTTATTACGCATGTGAACAACACTTTGTGTATTGGTATGTTTCAAATAAAATGTTTTTGAAAGTATTTGGAAGTAGATTGGGTTTTATTTGCCTTCCTAGATCCTGCTAAAACCAGCTATTGATTGGATCTGGTTTTTCAGGGTAGTTTATGGTCATTAGCTGATCCAGATCGGCTTTCAGCTGCTGGACCTCGTAGACCACCTTGGCTAACCTGGTTTGGTTGGTAGACCACCTTGGCTAACCTGGTTTGGTTGGTAGACCACCTTGGCTAACCTGGTTTGGTTGGTAGACCACCTTGGCTAACCTGGTTTGGTTGGTAGACCACCTTGGATAACCTGGTTTGGTTGGTAGACCACCTTGGATAACCTGGTTTGGTTGGTAGACCACCACCACCTTGGCTAACCTGGTTTGGTTGGTAGACCACCTTGGCTAACCTGGTTTGGTTGGTAGACCACCTTGGATAACTTGGTTTGGCTAACCTGGTTTGGTTGGTAGACCACCTTGGCTAACCTGGTTTGGTTGGTAGACCACCTTGGCTAACCTGGTTTGGTTGGTAGACCACCTTGGACCACCAGCTGTTTCAAACTGGTATGTTCGTAGAGTTCTTCATAAAGTTGTGTGTTTCTCAGGTAAAATGACAAAAATTTGAATTTGATGTTCAAAATAGATGTTCAATTTAATGTAAAGATTATCTTCAAATGACATACATTCAGCAATATACAATTTGTGACATTTGTAAAGAATATTGCTCAAACATCTAGGCAAGAAAATACAGTAGCGACATTACAGGGGGGGAAACTTTCATTTACACAGCGCATTTCATCTGAAAATACGTTTTAAATCGTGACTTCTCGTTCAAAGTTTGATTTTTGTTTCTGCGCACCAATGAATAAAATACTTACAGGGCACTTTTATAAACAGGCACAATAAAAAGTTAAGTTACAGTATCCTCTGAATGTTTAAATAGTCAAAAATAAAACAAACGAACACACACACAAAGGAGACCTAAAGTCTAGCGGGCGGGTTCACGGTTCCTCTGCCAGGCGTACTGGTCCGTACACTGAAATCTGTAGCGCAGAAACCTCACTCGCGGCTTCATGTGGAAGTCAGCAGGTATCTTCCAGTTCCACATTTTCTGCACCTTTCAGAAAGCGCAGAGATCAGTTCAGAGGTCAGAGGTCAAGCTAGCAGGACAGTCATTTACTGGCTGAAAATTGTGCAGCTTTTGATTCAACGGGTTAGTTCACCCAAAAAAAATGAAAATTCTGTCATTAATTACTCACCATCACGTCGTTACAAACCCGTAAGACTTTCGTTCATCTTCAGAACACAATTAAAGATCTTTTCTATGAAATCTGAGAGATTTCTGTCCCTCCATTGACAGCTACACAACTACCACTTTGACGCTTCAAAAAGTTAATAAAGATATTGTAAAACTAGGCCTAAATGAATCGAATGGTTTAGTCCAAATTTTCTGTAGAGACTCATCGCTTTATATGATGAACAGATTGAATTTAGGCTTTTATTCACATTTAAAACTTCATCAACTCACACATCAGTTATGATAAACAGAAGCTCAAACATGTTCACTTGACTTAACCAATGAGGTTCATCCTCGTGTTACGCAGCACGTTTGAGCTTCAGCAAGAACCAATGAGGTTCATCCTCGTGTTACGCAGCACGTTTGAGCTTCAGCAAGAACCAATGAGGTTCATTCTCGTGTTACCCAGCACGTTTGAGCTTCTGTAAGAACCAATGGGGTTCATTCTCGTGTTACGCAGCACGTTTGAGCTTCAGCAAGAACCAATGAGGTTCATTCTCGTGTTACAAAGCACGTTTGAGCTTCAGCAAGAACCAATGAGGTTCATTCTCGTGTTACGCAGCACGTTTGAGCTTCAGCAAGAACCAATGAGGTTCATTCTCGTGTTACGCAGCACGTTTTGAGCTTCTGCAAGAACCAATGGGGTTCATTCTCGTGTTACGCAGCACGTTTGAGCTTCTGTAAGAACCAATGGGGTTCATTCTCGTGTTACGCAGCACGTTTGAGCTTCTGTAAGAACCAATGAGGTTCATTCTCGTGTTACGCAGCACGTTTGAGCTTCTGCAAGAACCAATGGGGTTCATTCTCGTGTTACCCAGCACGTTTGAGCTTCTGTAAGAACCAATGAGGTTCATTCTCGTGTTACGCAGCACGTTTGAGCTTCAGCAAGAACCAATGGGGTTCATTCTCGTGTTACGCAGCACGTTTGAGCTTCAGCAAGAACCAATGGGGTTCATTCTCGTGTTACGCAGCACGTTTGAGCTTCAGCAAGAACCAATGAGGTTCATTCTCGTGTTACGCAGCACGTTTGAGCTTCAGCAAGAACCAATGGGGTTCATTCTCGTGTTACGCAGCACGTTTGAGCTTCAGCAAGAACCAATGAGGTTCATTCTCGTGTTAAGCAGCACGTTTGAGCTTCAGCAAGAACCAATGAGGTTCATTCTCGTGTTACGCAGCACGTTTGAGCTTCAGCAAGAACCAATGGGGTTCATTCTCGTGTTACGCAGCACGTTTGAGCTTCAGCAAGAACCAATGAGGTTCATCCTCGTGTTACGCAGCACGTTTGAGCTTCAGCAAGAACCAATGAGGTTCATTCTCGTGTTACCCAGCACGTTTGAGCTTCTGTAAGAACCAATGGGGTTCATTCTCGTGTTACGCAGCACGTTTGAGCTTCAGCAAGAACCAATGAGGTTCATTCTCGTGTTACGCAGCACGTTTGAGCTTCAGCAAGAACCAATGAGGTTCATTCTCGTGTTACGCAGCACGTTTGAGCTTCAGCAAGAACCAATGAGGTTCATTCTCGTGTTACGCAGCACGTTTTGAGCTTCTGCAAGAACCAATGGGGTTCATTCTCGTGTTACGCAGCACGTTTGAGCTTCTGTAAGAACCAATGGGGTTCATTCTCGTGTTACGCAGCACGTTTGAGCTTCTGTAAGAACCAATGAGGTTCATTCTCGTGTTACGCAGCACGTTTGAGCTTCTGCAAGAACCAATGGGGTTCATTCTCGTGTTACCCAGCACGTTTGAGCTTCTGTAAGAACCAATGAGGTTCATTCTCGTGTTACGCAGCACGTTTGAGCTTCTGCAAGAACCAATGGGGTTCATTCTCGTGTTACGCAGCACGTTTGAGCTTCTGTAAGAACCAATGGGGTTCATTCTCGTGTTACGCAGCACGTTTGAGCTTCAGCAAGAACCAATGAGGTTCATTCTCGTGTTACGCAGCACGTTTGAGCTTCAGCAAGAACCAATGGGGTTCATTCTCGTGTTACGCAGCACGTTTGAGCTTCAGCAAGAACCAATGAGGTTCATTCTCATGTTACGCAGCACGTTTGAGCTTCAGCAAGAACCAATGAGGTTCATTCTCGTGTTACGCAGCACGTTTGAGCTTCAGCAAGAACCAATGAGGTTCATTCTCATGTTACGCAGCACGTTTGAGCTTCAGCAAGAACCAATGGGGTTCATTCTCGTGTTACGCAGCACGTTTGAGCTTCAGCAAGAACCAATGAGGTTCATTCTCATGTTACGCAGCACGTTTGAGCTTCAGCAAGAACCAATGGGGTTCATTCTCGTGTTACGCAGCACGTTTGAGCTTCAGCAAGAACCAATGAGGTTCATTCTCGTGTTACGCAGCACGTTTGAGCTTCTGTAAGAACCAATGGGGTTCATCCTCGTGTTACACAGCACGTTTGAGCTTCAGCAAGAACCAATGAGGTTCATTCTCGTGTTACGCAGCACGTTTGAGCTTCTGTAAGAACCAATGGGGTTCATTCTCGTGTTACGCAGCACGTTTGAGCTTCAGCAAGAACCAATGAGGTTCATTCTCGTGTTACGCAGCACGTTTGAGCTTCAGCAAGAACCAATGGGGTTCATTCTCGTGTTACGCAGCACGTTTGAGCTTCAGCAAGAACCAATGAGGTTCATTCTCATGTTACGCAGCACGTTTGAGCTTCAGCAAGAACCAATGGGGTTCATTCTCGTGTTACGCAGCACGTTTGAGCTTCTGCAAGAACCAATGGGGTTCATTCTCATGTTACGCAGCACGTTTGAGCTTCAACAAGAACCAATGAGGTTCATCCTCGTGTTACACAGCACGTTTGAGCTTCAGCAAGAACCAATGAGGTTCATTCTCATGTTACGCAGCACGTTTGAGCTTCAACAAGAACCAATGAGGTTCATCCTCGTGTTACGCAGCACGTTTGAGCTTCAGCAAGAACCAATGAGGTTCATTCTCGTGTTACGCAGCACGTTTGAGCTTCAGCAAGAACCAATGAGGTTCATTCTCATGTTACGCAGCACGTTTGAGCTTCAGCAAGAACCAATGAGGTTCATCCTCGTGTTACGCAGCACGTTTGAGCTTCAGCAAGAACCAATGAGGTTCATTCTCATGTTACGCAGGACGTTTGAGCTTCAGCAAGAACCAATGAGGTTCATTCTCGTGTTACGCAGCACGTTTGAGCTTCAGCAAGAACCAATGAGGTTCATTCTCGTGTTACGCAGCACGTTTGAGCTTCAGCAAGAACCAATGAGGTTCATTCTCGTGTTATGCAGCACGTTTGAGCTTCAGCAAGAACCAATGAGGTTCATTCTCATGTTACGCAGGACGTTTGAGCTTCAGCAAGAACCAATGAGGTTCATTCTCGTGTTATGCAGCACGTTTGAGCTTCAGCAAGAACCAATGAGGTTCATTCTCGTGTTACGCAGCACGTTTGAGCTTCAGCAAGAACCAATGAGGTTCATTCTCGTGTTACGCAGCACGTTTGAGCTTCAGCAAGAACCAATGAGGTTCATTCTCGTGTTATGCAGCACGTTTGAGCTTCTGCAAGAACCAATGAGGTTCATTCTCGTGTTACGCAGGACGTTTGAGCTTCAGCAAGAACCAATGAGGTTCATTCTCGTGTTACGCAGCACGTTTGAGCTTCAGCAAGAACCAATGAGGTTCATCCTCGTGTTACGCAGCACGTTTGAGCTTCAGCAAGAACCAATGAGGTTCATTCTCGTGTTACGCAGGACGTTTGAGCTTCAGCAAGAACCAATGAGGTTCATTCTCGTGTTACGCAGGACGTTTGAGCTTCAGCAAGAACCAATGAGGTTCAGTCTCGTGTTACGCAGCACGTTTGAGCTTCTGCAAGAACCAATGAGGTTCAGTCTCGTGTTACGCAGCACGTTTGAGCTTCTGCAAGAACCAATGAGGTTCATTCTCGTGTTACGCAGCACGTTTGAGCTTCTGCAAGAACCAATGAGGTTCATCCTCGTGTTACGCAGCACGTTTGAGCTTCTGCAAGAACCAATGAGGTTCAGTCTCGTGTTACGCAGCACGTTTGAGCTTCTGCAAGAACCAATGAGGTTCATTCTCGTGTTACGCAGCACGTTTGAGCTTCTGCAAGAACCAATGAGGTTCATTCTCGTGTTACGCAGCACGTTTGAGCTTCTGCAAGAACCAATGAGGTTCAGTCTCGTGTTACGCAGCACGTTTGAGCTTCTGCAAGAACCAATGAGGTCCATTCTCATGTTACGCAGCACGTTTGAGCTTCTGCAAGAACCAATGAGGTTCAATCTCGTGTTACGCAGCACGTTTGAGCTTCTGCAAGAACCAATGAGGTTCATTCTCGTGTTACGCAGCACGTTTGAGCTTCAGCAAGAACCAATGAGGTTCATCCTCGTGTTACGCAGCACGTTTGAGCTTCAGCAAGAACCAATGAGGTTCATTCTCGTGTTACGCAGCACGTTTGAGCTTCTGCAAGAACCAATGAGGTTCAGTCTCGTGTTACGCAGCACGTTTGAGCTTCAGCAAGAACCAATGAGGTTCATTCTCATGTTACACAGCACGTTTGAGCTTCAGCAAGAACCAATGAGGTTCAGTCTCGTGTTACGCAGCACGTTTGAGCTTCAGCAAGAACCAATGAGGTTCATTCTCGTGTTACGCAGCACGTTTGAGCTTCTGCAAGAACCAATGAGGTTCATTCTCGTGTTACGCAGCATGTTTGAGCTTCTGCAAGAACCAATGAGGTTCAGTCTCGTGTTACGCAGCACGTTTGAGCTTCAGCAAGAACCAATGAGGTTCATTCTCGTGTTACGCAGCACGTTTGAGCTTCAGCAAGAACCAATGAGGTTCATTCTCGTGTTACGCAGCACGTTTGAGCTTCAGCAAGAACCAATGAGGTTCATTCTCATGTTACGCAGGACGTTTGAGCTTCTGTAAGAACCAATGAGGTTCATTCTCGTGTTACGCAGAACCAATGAGGTTTGTTCTCACTTGTCAAGCAGGTTCAGTTGAGCTTCTGTTTATGTTCGCTGATCAATGTTTAAATGTAAATAAAAGCCTAATTTCAATCTGTTTATCATATAAAGCGATCGTGTCTCTTCAGAAAATTGGACTTAAACACTCAAATCAATATGGATTAGTTTTACGATATCTTGATGAACTTTTTGAAGTGTCAAACTGGTAGTTGCGTAGCTGTCAATGGAGGGACAGAAAACTCAAATTTCATTTAAATATATTCAATTGTGTTTTAAAGATGAAAGTCTTACGGGTTTGGAACGACATAAGGGTGAGTATTTAATGACAGAATCTTCATTTTTGGGTGAACTATGCATTTAAGCTTTTGGTGTGGTGTCCAAACTCATCGAGCATCTTTCATGAAACACGAGGACAACGGATATCTGTGCAAATCCTCTGTAAACCTATTCTTGCGTATATTATTTGCACTGGAATTGCAGAGAGCCGTTTACATCCTTTATTATATTATATATAAAATATCATATTTTGTGGAAACTGACATTTCTTTTAGAAATGTTTTAAAAATACATATTCTGTTACTTTTGATCAATTTTATGCATCAATTTTATGCATCCTTGCTAAATAAAAACTTTTGAACAGTAGTGTACCTTAAAATAATTCCTCATTAACAAACATCTGTATCGTTTATGATGAAGGTTCAAACATGATATTTCTGAGATGATTTGGACCGTTTGTTTTATTATGCTTCGGCTGAATATGCGAAGCGCATAGATATTTCAGCATGAAACGGTGTGTGTGGAGAGTTTCAGACCCACCTTCAGGACCCTGACCAGATGTGTGGTACTGTTCACCTGCTGATACTGGACAGAACAAGCAAAACAGAGAAAAGAGAAGAGCTGTTGAGCATCTGTTCATCATCACAGCATCTCGATCAGACATGAATTTATTCACAAGGTTATGGACGATAGGTTTCCATGACAGTTTTTGGCATGGCGGAGGAGGTGAAAGCAAGATACGGATCATCATCAGAATCATAATTCATGTGACTGAAGTGAACTCCATTGAAGCTTACCAGCTGGCTGTGTCTGTTCCGTAGCACCAGGTTGGCCTGTTAGAGGAGAACAAACCATGTGACATACGGAGATGCTCAGATCAAAACAACTGATTTGAACGTGCAGTTTAGCAGGTAAAGCAGGTTTAGAGATGTAGTGTGATTTAAAAACACATTTCACATGAATCTATTTTGTGTGGCTTGACAAAAATAAATATCAAAATAAACATAATTTATACAAAAAATATGTACAATTTAATTAATTCATCATTTATTGTATAAATATGTTAATTGTGTATACTATGTTTACGATGGTATATTTTGGTAAGGGCAGCTTACCTGGATAGTCAGTATATATGCAGTATATATATATGTATATATAATATCGTATATATCAACAATACAGTAAAAACAGAAATGTTCTGAAATATTACATTTTAAAATAATTTTCTAATTCACTAGATTTCAACATGTAATTTATTCCTGTGATCAAAGCTGAATTTTCAGCATCATTACTCCAGTCTTCAGTGTCACATGATCCTTCAGAAATCACTCTTATGATGATTTGCTGCTTGATTATTATTGGTTCTCAATTATTAATTTATTGTTAGCATTCTTGAAATTGAATTTTTTGCTTCCATGTTGTGGACATTTTTTTTTTTTCAGGTTTCTTTTATGAATAGAAAGTTCAAAAGAACAGCATTAATTTGAAATACAAATTATAAAATTGAATGCACTGTTTTAATGCAACCCTTGTGGATTACAAATATTAATGTTATGAATGTGTAAAATATGCAATTTGCAGATATGTTATAAACTTACTTGGACTCCCAAGAGTCCCTTGAGGTTCAGCTGTAGCTTAAAAATTTAAATTAGCAAATATATGTTTTCCTTGTGTTTGTGTTGTAGTTGTGTGTCACTCACCTGTGCCCATGGCGTCTGTCTGTGAGGAAACCCCTGTGAATGGATCCCCTGTGACTGGAGTTGAGTTTAAGAAAGGTTTGGTTCATTTAGATTTTTTAATAATGTTTTAAAACAATTTCTGCTTTGTAAGCGAACCCTTGCAAAAACTGACCTTGGTAATCATAGTTTCCACCAAAATACCATTGTTATTGTACTGCAAAATCATACGGAATTCCCTTCAAACTGGCCTTCGGTGTCTTTCTGTCATTCTCTGCAGAAACTATGTTTACCATGGTATATTTTTTATAAGGGCAGCTTACCTGGATAGTCAGTCCACCTGATGAGACAGATGTTTTCAAACGTAATTTACCTGGTAAGTCTGTCTGAACCATGCTACTATGTGTCTCTGAGGCATCTGAAAGTTTGACAAGAACATTGATATGCCAGAGAAATCATACAGAGATCGTTAATGAAGCTCATTATTACATATACACAATTTAACAAACCCTTGTATATACTGTATGTAAGTGCATTAAACGATTTTAATGTACGACGTGAAGACACAGAAACACCCGATGGCGGAGTGCATTCAAATCGTTTAATTCACAGTTAGCCGTGGATTATCCCGCTTATACCATGGCCATTTACCAGCATTGACAAGTTAAAAATGGTATTAATTGTTTGCAGCACAATATTTGGCAGGAAACTCAACTTAAAATTAAGCTGTAAGTTTAATTGCTTCAAAAACAGCGAAGTTACCGCCTTGTTGTGTGTGTGTGTGTGTGTGCTTCAGCGCATTAATATAGAATGGTGATTAAACAGACTGGAACTACCTGTGCATTAAACAGTATTCAGACAGACCGTGGTGTGTGTGTGTGTACTAAAGGTAACTCACCTGTAAATCCAGTCCCAGTCGCATGAACAGAATCTGCTTTTTCAGAAACACACACTACACATGAAACCCTGCCCTGATAGACTGACATGTGTCTGGATGAGCTGAGGAAACGTGGTTACCTGTGTAATTCGGCATGCCGTCAGTCACAGCTAGGTGTCCCTGGCCTGAATAACAGGAAATAGCATGTTGTAAATATTTACTACTTAAAGTACTCGTGTGCATGATGTTGTTTACTCACCCGTCACGTCTGTTTGAGCCTGTCCTTCAGTCACCGGATCACTCGCCACACCTGATCACAGCGACAGCTCCGTTATTACACACCAATGCTGCTTTTACAATCACTCATGGTGGATTTATTCAAAATGTTTGGTAAAATTTCAAAGATAATACCTGCCATATCTGTCTGCACGCTTCCACCGGTGACACCATCATGTCCTTCGAGAGGGCGAAACAAAGTTTATTTATTTTTAGAGCATATTTCATACACAATGAAAATTTAGAGTGCTTTACATAAAAAGACTCATACAACAATCTGTGGAAGCCCATTTCTGCCGCATAAGTATGCTTATAATTATGACTAAGTCATATGAGATTAAAGTCGAAATTTTGAATTAAAAATGTGAAATTCTGACATAATAAAATGAAATTCTGACTTAAAAAGTCGTCATTATTATTAGTCATAACTTCTTATATCATAATTTCAACTTTAATCTCGAATGACAGTCATAATTGACTTAGTATGTGATAGTTTACTTAGTATGTCATAAATGTTACTTCGTATCTCATAATTTTGACCTTTTCTCATATTATTGGCTTTCCATTAATCATAATTTAGTATTTCAACATTTCATTTTGTAGGCTGTCAAAATGATAACTTGACATTTTAATCTCATAATTATTATTTAGTATGTAATTATTTCGATTTGTTATAATTTTGACTTTTTAATATCATAATTTCTTTCATAAAAAGTCTTTTACTCTATAATTTCGATTTTTTTATCTCATAATTATAACTTAGTAGGTCTGTCATCATTTTTACTATTTATGTCAATTTTGACTTTTTATGCCATAATTTCAATTTTTAATCCCATAAATGATTGTATGTCATAATTTTGACTTTTTATTATGATCTACAAAAGCATGATTTTCTTTTCTGATGCGGAAATGGGCTTCCATAACAATCACTACAGATGCATAAGAAATAAAATTAAAAAAAAATTAAAAGTAATAAAAAGAGAGATGCATTAAAATGAAGAAATCAAGTTTATTATTATATTGATTATTATTTAACCTATAAACATATTAAGAAGGATGTTTTCTTACCAGTCGTGTCAGCATAAGGGCTGAGGGTGTGGTCAACTAGATCAAGTACACCGACTGAAAATAAGAAAAAATAGCATTTCTAAAGGTGCTAACTAGATTAATATTTGCGCAAAGATGATTTATGTGATGCCACTGACCTGCATCTGGAATTGAGCTGACGGCATGCTGGTCTCCTGTACAGACAAGTCAATTATTATAACTTATTAGCTCTGCTCCAAACCCTAGAGAGCTGCCTTGCTGTCTGACTAGATAAATACCATAAGGCTCAATTCATGTTATGAGTTTGGTGTTAGCATGATGCTAAGCTAATGACACAACCCAAATTAGTATAAAACGCTTAAATATGTGTCTGTTTTGATTAGATTAAGCTATTTTATAATAACTTTCAGTATTCATTGTAATACATTTTTATGGTATAAGTTATGGTAAACAACTAAACATATCTTTCAATTTCACCATTTTGGATGGGTTTTATTCATCTCAAGGTATCCTGGAATTCTGCCTTAGATAATAATTTTTGTAAAACCATAAAATAATAGTGCCTTGTGCCTTCTTTTTGGAACAACTCACTAGGTTTTGGAACAATTGTTAAGACAATTAAGACAACTGTTTTGTTTTCTGAAATGTTGTTTAAAATATGCAAATGAGGCTTTATCTAATTAAGTATGCACTAATGTCCATCCATTTCTAGAACAGAAATATGAACATTGGATAAAGCCAGTTTTAAAATTCTTGTTTCATTTGGTTGACATCAGAGTTAATGATTTTTTACAGAGAATCTCTCTTTTTATCCCTTCATAAATCAGAAAATATTGTCAACAGCCTTAAAAAAATCACCATATTCTAGGAATAAAATATTAATAATAATAAAAAAGACATGTCATAGAAGCACAATCTCAATATTGACCAGTGCATGAAAAAAAACAATGGTTTTGCCTGTAGGGTCTTGACTTAATTTGTCCATTAACAGTTGTGTATGGATGAAATAGTTTGTTACAAAATTAATTATATTAAATATTGGCTACATTAAAGACACCATAAGGTGTTGTAGCATAGTTTTGCAATCAACATATCAAAAACAATGTCCTTTTTTTAATAGCTAGCCTATAATATGCTTTAGTTGCATCAGATGATCCATGATTCTTACATTTTATTTGTGTACATATTAACTAATTTCACTAACTAGCATATAGATAGTGTTAGTGTTAGGGTTACAGACGTGCACCAAAAGCCACAAATCTTTGATCGGGATTTCCTGGCGGCTTTAAACCTGCCGTGAGAAATATTTTCCGTGTTGAGCACAAGCATTTGGTAAACCCACGCAACCCCACTGGTCATAGACCGACTAGCCAAGAGAAGACGCATAAAAATTGAATTATGGCTAACAAATCAATAGAGTTTCAGTGATGTCATGGAGCCGGCTGATGTAGTACCAGCTGTGTGATGCATCTCCGGCGCAGCGTCATGATGGCCTGTTCCGCCTGTTGGGAAAGACTCACATTGATTCCAAGATATTACTCTGTCAATAACATGATGTTGTGATTGTGTGTTGATTGATTAGTTGTGTGTTTTATTGCTGGACACATACTGACGTCGAGATGAACGGCTGAAGGGTCACCTGTGAACGAATCCAGACACACACTGCAGTTCTCTCTCTTTTAGATGTTTTATAGAGATATGAACGCATAGATATACATAATAAAGGCTAGATGTCTCGTCTGCGCTGCTGGCCAATGGAGGTCGACGTCCGCACCTGGCGGCCATCTTGTCACAGGCAGCTCGCTCACTCTAACATTGTGTTTTAATGGCGCATGTACTTTTTAAACAACCATAACTTGCTAAATTTTCTACGATTTTCAAACGGTTTGGTTTGTTATAAACGTCAGAGATGTAGTTATGACACTGCACACTTATGAATAATAAGTGTATCAATAAATAATCATCCAGAATTATAGCCACGTTAATAACGTTTGTAAGAAACCAAACCGTTTGTAAATCCGTCAAGATTTCAGCGAGATAAGAGTATTTGTGTTCGTGCCGATCACTCATCTTACATCAGGCACCACAGAGCCCACCAGAAAGCTTGCCTGTGACAAAATGGCCGCCGGTGATGACGATAGAGACTCCGCCGTAACACATCTAGCCTTTATTATGGATATCTATGTATGAACGTACCTTTCTGTATGTCTACCACAGGTTTGTGCCGACCGTTCCCGTTTCCTGTAATGCAGTAATGAATGATGTGTCAAAATGATATCGTATGATCATATTCCTGCTGGAAAACCCAGGTTGTCAATGTAAACCATCTAAAGCAGCTTGGACCAGCTAGAAACCATGCAAAAGTAGCATTCATTTTCCAGAAAGGAAAGGTGAGTTGACATGTTGACACGAGCTTACCGTTGGTATCGGGTGAATCTGCACCATTATTATCTGCCCCTCCTTCTGAGGAGAACAAGACGACAGATGAATATCATGTCTCATATCTGCTAACGTTTTCTTTTTCTATTGAAAATACACTTTACAATAAGGTTACCATTAGTTACCTACTTTAGTTAATATTAATACGACTAATAAATGCTGTAGAAGTATTTTTCATTGCTAGTTTAAAATCAAAGTTGTATCTGTTAACATTAGTTCTTGCACTACTAACATATTGCATTTTTGTTAACTAACATTGACAAATGTGAATAAATGCTGTATATATATTGCTTATAGTTTGTTTAAGTTATGTTAGTTAATGCATAAAGACCTTATTGTAAAGTGTTAGCAAAATAGGTGTCGTACCTGAATAGTCTATGAAGGAATGACCCGGATGTGAGATTGTGTCAAAGACAACTGATGAATCTGTAAAAATCACTCTGATTTTAGTTTCAACACACTTTGGCCCGGTTTCACATACGGGGCTTAGATTCATCCAGGATTAGGCCTTAGTTTAATTAGGAGATTTAAGTCGCTTTTATAAATGTGCCTTAGAAAGAAACATTACTGGTGTGCATCTTGAGACAAAACAACAGCACTGACATATTTTAAGATATATCAGTGCAAGTTGCTTTCAGTTAAAACAGCTCAAACATGCGTTTTAGTCTGTGACTAGACTTAAACCTCGTCTGTGAAACCGGGGGTTTCTGTTTTAGTGTTTCAAGTTCACCAGACCATGCAGGATTGTTGTTCAACATCAGTTTACCTGTTGTGTCGGCCGGTGATTGTGACTGGGCTCCATTATCAGACGTGCCTGAAGACACAAGTGATTATTTAACCACTTACTGACCTGCACTGGGGCCCGGATACCCCAGCGACGGCCCCGTCTGTTAACACACTGTTTATCTAATGCTAGTAAACAGACAAATACTGTACTTACTGATTGAATGGGTATAATCGCCATTCCCACTGTCAGCAGATACATAATCTGGCCCCGCAGAGTCTGACACACACAACAAGAGACAGTTAACATAGTCAATTATTGGTTTACTAGACATGTTGACATGACTATTTAAAGATGATTTTGCTTTTATTCACACTATTTGGTTTAATGATTTTATAACATTTTCTATAAAGTCAGAGTACACAGCTGTCTGTCTATCTATCTATACCTCTCTTATCTATCTATCTATCTATCTATCTATCTATCTATCTATCTATCTATCTATCTATCTATCTATCTATCTATCTATCTATACCTCTCTATCTATCTTTCTATCGTTCTATCATCTGTCTATCTATCTATCTATCTATCTATCTATCTATCTATCTATCTATCTATCTATCTATCTATCTATCTATCTATCTATCTATCTATCTATCTATCTATCTATCTATCTATCTATACCTCTATCTATCTTTCTATCATCTGTCTGTCTGTCTGACTTTCTATCTATCTATCCTTCTATCTATCTATCTATCTATCTATCTATCTATCTATCTATCTATCTATCTATCTATCTTTACCTCTATCTATCTATCTATCTATCTATCTATCTATACCTCTCTATCTATCTTTCTATCGTTCTATCTATCTATCTGTCTACCTTTCTATCTATCTATCTATCTATCTATCTATCTATCTATCTATCTATCTATCTATCTATCTATCTATCTATCTATCTATCTATCTATCTATCTATCTATCTATCTATCTATCTCTCTATCTCACTATCTATCTATCTATCTATCTATCTATCTATCTCACTATCTATCTCTCTATCTATCTCTCTATCTATCTCTATCTATCTATCTCTCTTTCTATCTCTCTCTCTCTCTCTCTATCTCTCTATCTCTCTATCTATCTATCTATCTATCTATCTATCTATCTATCTATCTATCTATCTATCTATCTATCTATCTATCTATCATCTACTCCCCTACACTCATTCAGTAAGTTGAGTTATGATTTCAGTGATCAGTCTGTGTAATCCATACAGATGCATTAAACCCCAGTGACCTCTCGTGACACTAAAAACGTCTCTGAAAGTTGTCATTACACCCCCTTTGGAGCCCGTGTCAAGACTGTAAGTCTGGCAGAGTTTATTAGACGTGTGCTGGGATAATCCCATGGCTACTGGGGTAAAAGCACTCTGAATTTACAGGACCTAAAGGAAGACAGAGCGGCAGCCAGCAGCCATTACCTGGAGGAGCGTCTAGAACCGGGCCGCCACTGGACGGGTGCCCTGGACTCAGGCCAGCGGCTGGAACGGAGAACGAGTGAGAGGGAAAAGACAGCTTTGATTCACACCAGTCATCTTTCAGTAAATTATTAGGTAGAGAACAGAAACTGGCTGGTTTATTCTGTCAGCGCAGCCCATAATTAGTACAGCGTGACAGCTGGACGGATTGGAGGAAGGCTCTCAGCGCCGTATGTGAGCCGTTTCACAGCATGGGCATAAATGTAAATCATGTAAATTTAACTAGTGCGGGACGTCCTGTTTATTACAAGGCCAATGAGATCAGCAGAAAGCAATTCTGGTGTCCGCAGCCCAAAAGCCATAAACATCAAGCCTCTCTGTTCAAATGAAAAATGGACAACGTGAAGTGGACGCTTACCTGCCGAATCCACCTGAAATGCGAGTCCCATGTGATCTGTTGAGACAGCGTCAGTTACTAGGCATGTGGGTGGAACGTCTGGAGGAGTGTCTAAGAGGTCTAAAAGCGTACCTAGACCGTCTGTTTGGGTGTCTGGACCAAAGCTCTCTCCTATTCCACCTGTAGAGGGAGACATTCTGAGTCCGAACTGAGAAACAACATTCAATATTCCCTCCACTAATTAATGAGAATGAAGGAATGCTCACCCATTAAGCCAACAAGGAAGTCATGGCTTGATTGGTCTATTATGCCTGCAAAGAAAATATATATTCAGTATGTTCTGATGCTCACATTATTGACATTATTGAGATTCAACTCAGTAACTACATTTTCACAAAATAAAATTTGTTTTTGTAGGCCTGAAGAGTTGAACTGATGTTTACCTGTTATTTCCAGATGGGGGCTTGTGCCAAATGAATCAAAACCACCTGAGATGTACACAAAACAAAAGACGCACATGTGAGAACTGAAAACAGTGTGTAAGTATCTTGGGAATTCTTCCATGTTCATGTTTTTATACCTGTTCCTTGTATCTGAGATGTGCCTGGCATGAAATGATCCAAACCTGCATCAAAAACAGCAAAGACATTGTTATTTTTATTATCTGTTTCATGTATGAAATGTCAGTCCATAAAAAACATAGTTTCCTCACCTGTGAATCCTGTTTCTCCTCCATTCAGTAGCTGTTTGTGCCCGTTACCTGTGAGAGGAACCCGATTAACGTGACTAAATCGCTCATTCTGATTAATATGGTGCACAATATTGTTCATTATTATAACAACACACAATAATACTCACCGTTAGATTCTATCTCTGGGATTTCTGAATTTACAAGACAAAAAGGATACAGTATGACATCAGTTATCAATTACCAGAAAACATTTGTTTTCCTCAGGTGAACGGTGTATGTAAACTGTGACGTTTTTCACCTGGAGACTCGATTTGAGATCCATCGTGAGCCGTTTCCCCTGATGCAAGAAGACAAGATCTGTTCTCGTATAAGTGTGTACAGCATTTAAGAAGTATGAAATGATCTCCATGATATACAATAGAGAGATCCTGTTATACACATACCATTTTCATATTGTGGAGCGAATCCCTCTGACCCTGAACACATGCACAGAGCATTATTATAACTTTTGCTTATATCATTTTAAAGAGGCCATATTATGCCCTTTTACAAAGTTTTTGGGGTCAACTAGAATAGGTTTTCATGCTTGAATGTTCAAAAACACCCTATTTTTTTATATAGTGTACATTATTGCAGCTCCTCTCTTCCCAGTCTGTCAGTAATGCTCTGTTTAGTTCCTGTCTCTGTGATCTTATGAAGTCCCTCCTTCTGAAAAGCACAATGTGCTCTGATTGGTCGGCTGGATCAGTGTGTTGTGATTGGTCAAACGCTTTGAGCGTGTTTGGTAAATGCCCCGCCCCTTACCATAACTGTGAGTTTTAACACACTACTAACTAACTCAATCAGGCCTTTTTTTGTGTATGTCATGGGCGGGAATTATTTAAATGACGAATATTGTGACGTCGTGTTCGTTCCCGGAAGAAAACTCAAGACTACAATGGAGGCGTTTCAGGGAGTTCAGAAACTGTGTCGCACTGATATAGAGAATAACTCCCGCTGGAGGGACTTTGTGCTTTGTAACAGCAATATTACACACCAATGAAGCCCATTACCAATTACACACCAATGAAAAAAAAGCATAATATGTGCTCTTTCATGAGGAGGTCACCATGTAAGTCTTACATTTGATGGTTTTGATTTAAATACCTGCAGGCTGTGAATGGACCTCGGAGGAAACGACATCCACACCACCTGACGTCTGCCCTGCTGGTGGTCGGCCAAACGTGTGGCTGGATGACATTGTTGACCCATGACCTGCTGCTATGTGGCCTGATGACCCTTGACCTGATGGCACTGTGAGATTGACAAAGATATCACATTATGAGGTGCGTGAAAGATTAACCCCTACTTTTTCATGCACTAGAATATTCAGTAACTCCTTTCTTGCGGTCTTTAGGTATACTGCATTATAACAGTATTCATAATGTACATTATAATGCATTCTATAAATATAACCAAAGTGAAAATGCATTATAATATCTGCAGATTCCTTGTTACATCTGAAATTGGTTGATTGTCATGTGTTTTAATGAATTGCACTTCATGAGATCTTGTGGTTACAATTCATGAGATCATACAATGCATTAAAATGTGCATTGCAAGTTATAAGTAATGCATTACAAATATTTTTATAATGCATTATAATACGTTTTACAGAATATTTCAGTATTATTAGGCCTTTGCATATATTATGATTTCGTGTGCATAATATAAACAAATTATAAAATATATAAACCCTGATTGCCTTAAACATAAACATATCTCTTACCAACAGAAATAGACACTGAATGGACGCCCCCGTCTGTGCCTGAAACACATTCGGTTCATTAGGCTTCTCTACAGCTGTAAGTTTTGAAATTTCCTATTTCTAACAATAATTTACACGTTTCTGAATGTAATTACCAGGGACTTTTGATCCTGAACCTCCATTAGCACCCGTTCCTCCAGCTCCTACACCTGAGAACAGTTTCCTTGGTTACTCGCCATGATATCAGTTTCCACACAAATATGTAATACTTTTATATAGAAAGGATGACCCAAGTAAAGACATTTACAATGTTACAAAAGATTTCAACTAAATGCTGTTCTTTTGAACTTTCTATTCATTTATCAATTTCCACACAAATATGAAATGTGAAACTATTTTCAACATTGATAATAATAAATGTTTCTTGAGCAGCAAATCATCATTTTAGAATGATTTCTGAAGGATCATGTGACACTGAAGCTGAAAAATGCTGAAAATTCAGCTTTGATCACAGGAATAAATGACATTTTACAACATATTCACATATAAAACAGTTATTTTAAATTGCAATAATATTTCACAATATTACTGTATTTCTGATCAAATAAATGCAGCCTTGGTGAGCATAAATGTCTTAACCTCAAACTTTTGAGCGGTAGTGTATATTAATTATATATGTGTAATTATATTATATTATATACACTTTTATTATATAAAATGTAATATTAGTATTGAATATAGTGCATAATATGGCATTTAGTATTTTTTATGCAGTACCATATGTAATGCCAAAATCAGTGATTTACCTGAAGGAACTATCTCTGATTTGGACCCCTCTTGTCCATCGTAACTTGCACCTGTAAGTGAAATAAATACGGTGATTAGGAAAACTTGTTCGGGTAAAAACAAAGGAAAGCATGTTTACCACAGGCGAATACCGTACCGTGAGAACTTGATCCAGGGGGCCGAGAGTAACCATCTCTACCGTTACTTCCTGTAACCCACACACGCATTACTGAGAGGCCATTCTTTCTACAGTAATAAAACACTGTCGTCCGTCTGAAAAATGCTTCAGTAATCCAATGACAAGCAGTTAAATGAACAACAAAACATTATTATTCTGACTGATGCTGCTTACCATTTGCTCCATCTGAAGCTGCTGATGTGCTGCTTGATGCTGTAATGACAAACACACTAGTTTACTTTCTTATTGGACATGGAAGAGAAGATGTCAAAGTCAACCTTACTGTCATTTTTAGTGCATTGCATGGCAATGCATAAAAACAAAGTTTCTTCAGAAAACAAAACGAGGTCATGAGGACTAAAAAGACCACAGTAAATATGGACAATGAATACAGACAATAGTACCGCAAAGTATACAGAACTTTCTCTGGCAAGGCTCTCTCAAATTTATGAATCCTTCCAGTAACATTAAAGGGATAGTTCACTTTGAAATAAATTTTTGCTATGTTTTAGCTTACCTCAAGGGCATCCAAGATGTAGGTGTCTTTGTTTCCGCAGTAGTTTAAATTTTGATATTTTTAGGTCAAAGCGTTCTTGTCTGTCAGTCATATAATGCAGGTCTATGGTCACCACCTCAAAGAGCATGCACAGAGAAGTCCAAATTAAACATGATTTAATGACTCGTAAATGTAAGTACACATTGATGACCTAAGACACGAAACGAGCGGTTTGTGTGAGAAAACGAACAGTGTTTATATCGTTTATACCTCTTGTAAACACAGCCACGTCCAAGTGATCTGAGGGCGCGGGCGCTTCGGTCTGTGCGTTACAAGAGGTAAAAACGATATAAATACTGTTCGTTTTCTCACACAAACCACTCGTTTCGTGTCTTAGGCCATCAATGTGTACTTACATTTACGAGTCATTAAATCATGTTTAATTTGGACTTCTCTGTGCATGCTCTTTGAGGTGGTGACCATAGACCTGCATTATATGACTGACAGACAAGAACGCTTTGACCTAAAAATATCAAAATTGAAACTACTGCGGAAACAAAGACACCGACATCTTGGATGCCCTTGAGGTAAGCTAAAACATAGCAAAAATTTATTTCAAAGTGAACTATCCCTTTAATAGAACATTTGTTTAAAGTTATCTGGTCTACATTATCTATACATCATTCATGGAACGTTTTTTTTCTCTCCAGATTTTTAAATGTAACTTGTTTCAGAACGTTCAGAGAACATTCCAAAGGAACATGTTTGCAAAATGGAATGTTCCCATAAAGTACGTTCACATAACCAAGAAAAAAAAACGTGTTTAAACAAACTGAATGTTCAGAAATAACGTTTTCAGAATGTATGTAATGAGCGAAACGTTCTCAGATCCTGTTTTTTATAAAGCTGGGGTGTTTTCTACACAGGGTCAGTCTGTGTTGCTCTTCTAAAGTCGGGCTTGTGTGAAAGTTTTGCCCCTGATAGATCAGGTTCACACTTACAGACTTGGCCAGTTTGAGTGCCACCATTGAGTTTCTGACCTGGGAAACAAGAGCAAAGGTTTTTGTCAAAAGATGTATTGGACTTCGGGAACAGAAAAGCGAGGCCTGAAAAGTGGCCATTGAACTTCCAACAAATTCACCTTTCACCAGAGGCCATGAGAGGCTAATGCACTCCGAACAGGTTTTAAAGAACTTGTTTTTGCGTTATCGAGTAGACTTTCCTTACCGTTTGGGGATTCGCCCGAGACGCCGCTGCCAGGAGTCATACCTTGGAGAAAAACAGCCTTTCAGTCTAAACAAGGCCCCGAAACATCGGTCCCACAAACATGCCCTCTCACTGCGCTAGGCCTGTGTTTTCCACCTGATGATGTTTCATCTTTCCACATTTATTAATAAATCGAGCAATGCCGTTCAGCCACTGTGGCAAAATCTCCACATACCTGATCCCTAAACCAGATCAAGTACGGATTGGCTTTGCTTACTGAGCAGGGTGCACCCAGTGAACTATTTTCCAGTGCTGAGAGGTTCAGTGTTCTCTGCCTCCAGCTCTAAAGAGGATTAGCTTCACCTTACCCAAGCCTTTGGGTGCTGCAGTGGCCTGCTGCGATCCGGCTCCTTTGGGAAAGAGGAACAAGAAACATATTCTTAAGATTCCCAGAGATCATTTTTTCTCACAGGTCAATCAATCAGTTTCGGCCAGGTGGCCCTCTGGAAGAACAAAAACACTCTTTTCACATGCGCTTAAGGGGGTTGGCATCTCGTGTAAACCAGTTATATACATTTTAAGTTGCTTTTATGAACATTTTAGATATGATTTTAGTTCTTTTTGTTCCGTCTAAAACCTCCAAATCTTTGTCAGTTTTTAAGTCTTTATTCACATTTGTAATTTATACTACTGGAATATTTGGGGTCAGTAAGATTTCTATTTCAAATAAATGCTGTTCTTTTGAACTCACAAAATGACTGTTTTTAGTGTATTTTTTTTATCAAATAAATGCAGCATTGGTGACTCTTTAAAAAAAAATCTTACAGACCCCAAACTTTTAAACGGTAGTGTATCTTAATTACCTTACAAAAAGTACTGTGGTAGCTTGGTTGTATTAGATGGTTTTACTATGGTATTCCAATGAAATCCAATGGAAAAACTTTGTAAATACGATGTAAATATTACATATTTTGGTAATATTACCATCACTGTATGGTTTCACTTCACTATATTTTTGTCATGGTATTAACATGATACCACAAGGTTACTTTCCCTACTTTTACCATGCTATCATGTCCAAAATATATATATACTTTGATATATACCATGATACTGTATTATTACCATATTTATACAACATGGTACTTTAAAATCATAATGATCGAGGCCAAAAAACGAGGTATGACAACTAGTCCAAAAGCACATTATACAAGAAATAAAACCATTGTACTTTTTTGTAAGTGTAATTTTTGATGTGATTATGGCAGAAACCCAAATGTATATAGCTCAGCCTCATTAAGAAAGACTGACTTTTAAAGCAAATTATGACTCATTATGTGATTATTAAAGATGACTGAGGTTTTGCACAATGGTGGTAAGTTGTGAACTTGTCACCCACCCTTCATATGCTGACCTTTGGAGTCATCATCATCTGTAAAGAAAAGGGAAAATCGATACAGTTTATAACAACCGCTCCTCTGTTTTGCCCTTCTCCTCTTTCTGTCCTGAATCCCTCACAGATCTGCTGACTGTTATCAGAATATAACACGAGTCCACTGAGTTTAGGATTCACATTCATCTATTGTCTTAAAGGCTCTTTTATTTTCTCCTAGAAACTGCTGCTTTACTCACTTTAATGGTGTTAAAAATTGGGTTTATGAAGCTTAACGTATTTAAAAAACGATTCAAGAAACTATTTATCATGAACGTTATAGTATTAACTTGTTATTTTGTCCTTTTGCAGGATCATGTCGTATCAAATTGCCCACAGTATGAGCTTCTTGATGTGGTACGATCAGCTCTCCTCGCTCGGGATGCTGAAGAAGTACAAGTTGCTATCTAAAAGACCATCATCTCCTACCCTCTTCCTCCTCAGACAGTTCTTCTTCACCCTCTTCAGCTTCGAAGTCATTTTCCTCGGGCTCCTTATCTGTCCGGAGAGAGTGTGTAAATACGTGCGGCCGCTGTATGCTAAACACAAGAGTGTGTCATTAAATGAAGCCCTCTGGGAGAAGAGCTCGTACCTTCAACAGGAGCCGTTGATATGGTGGACGCCAGAAACACAACAGCCACTGAAGCAATTACAAGATTTCTGTGAAAGCAAAACGATAAGAGTCCAGAATGAGCAAACGTGAAGCAAAATGACCCCCCTAAACTAAAGGTATTTATACATATATCATGCAATTTATCAATGCATATTCTCAAAAAACAGCTCTGAAAATGGCCAACTATTCTCTTGAGAAATGTATGCTTTTAATATTATTTTAACTTGGAGAGTAAATTCAGTGCTTGGTTTAAAAAAAAAAATACAAGTACGGCTTAAAAGCAAGCAATACTTAGGACTGAGTTTACAACAAGATACTTACTTTTATGCTAAAGTATTGTAATATTCAGAAAGCACAGCTGTAATTGGACAGTATATCACTTAATGAGACTCCCAACATCAAAATAGCACAGACTCTAAACTATAACCAAGTCATATGCAAATGTCATTGAAATGCAAAATTATTAAATACAAATCCTACATAAAACATGCTTTTGTGGTGCTTGCAACACCAAGGTCATGGGTTTGATTCCAAGGGAATGCGAGAATTGATCCATATACCTTGAATGTAAAGTCACTTTAGATAAAAGCATCTGCCAAATGCATGAATGTCCTCACACAAGCACCTTCATGACAAAATCCACAGCTCCTCTCTGCTATACACTGATTAATTAGCTATCAATTGTTCCATTATAATCAATGAACGGTCAAGAGTCAGACCGGTTCTTATAAATCAAACGCCATTGACTTACCGTGACAGCATCTTTAGCACAGGTTTATGTGCTAGGAAACTGTGCAGCAGACATAAAGCAACCAGCAAACGTGCTTTTGACTTCCTTATGCTTGACTGGGCACCAAAATACATTTTATACCCTTCCAGCCCCCCATCTTGTTAAGGGGCAGGACTTGATGTCTAACCCCAACCCCTGCCATTCAAACTACTCCCTCTGAAGAGTGAAACCACAGGTGAGTCCTGCAACGTTTTTTTCTGATTCATAATTCATATTCAGATCAGATCTGCAGTCTTCAAGCATTAAATGCTGATGAATATGTACTGTACATTGGCTGTTGACTACTGATGCCAAAGATTAAGATTAAAAGGTCTTTATTTATGGCATGTCCCATCATCTTTCTGGGCCACGAGTGGGATCAGTAAGGCGGATCAGCCAGTGGAGGGCACAGCCAGCCTACACAACACCACAGGAACGTACAGGGTTTCCTCATCTGAGCATGAGGACCTGGCTAGTTTAAGATCATAGTTCTTTCTGATTTAGCACTTGATATGATCCCTTTCACTCAAAAAATACACGAGTTATGATTAAGTGTTTGCATTTTTTAAATGTTTTTGAAAGGTTTCTTATTCTCACCATGGCTGCACTATTTAATCAAAAATACAGTAAAAACAGTAATATTGTGATATATAATTCAAAATAACTGCTTTCTATCTGAATATATTGTAAAATGTAATTTATTCCTGTGATTAAAGCTGAATTTTCAGCATCATTACTCCAGTCTTCAGTGTCACATGATCCTTCAGAAATCATTCTAATATGATGATTTAATGCTCAAGAAACATTTCTGATTATTATCAATGTTGAAAACAGTTGTGCTCCTACATATTTTTGTGGAAATTGTTAGATATATACCAATAAATTAATACTTGTATTGTTTCAACATTGATAATAATAAGAAATGTTTCTTGAGCAGCAAATCAACATTTTAGAATGATTTTATTGAATTCTAAATTATGTTTCAGTCTGTTTAAAAACGTGGTACATAAGGATGTACAGCCTTTTGAATGCAATCCAAAACCAAGGTGCTTTTTGTAAGGGAAAAGTGCTCACTTTTTTTGCCTGCTGAAAATGTGCTTTGCTGGTTTAGCTGGTCAGTTATTTGATCTCCCAGCTCGACCAGCTGACAAGTGGCCAAAACCTTCAAACCTGACTGACCAGTTTTATAGCCAGCTATGACTAGCAAACCACTTTTGGCTGGTTTTATGCATTTATCTCTAAATTTGAGACCAGTGGTTGCCAGATCTTTCAGGAAAGAAAAGAATGGGAAAGCCAGTAAACTGGAATGGCCTGTGATGTGTTAATGGATTAGCACGGCCTGTTCAACTACGGTGGTATGATCCGTATATGTTGCATAAGCTAATGCTCCTGTCCCATAGCAGTAACTGAATCGCTGGCAGCTCACAGGAAGATTGCATTCCTGTACAGCGTGCCAGTTCACATCAAGCCCGTTTTACAATGTAACGAACACCAGCAGGCCTTGAAATGCATTTCTGTGATAAACTCGTCCTGATGAGCTAAATGGACGTGTGTCGTAGCAAAGCTAATGAGCTCTTGAGCTAAACAAGCTTTCTTTGTTGTATTGTGAAATGTGATCTATGTGTGTATTTTGACCCTGAATCCACATAACGTAATGTTGCGTGTGTTTTCTTGAAAAACATAATCGAGAGGGGGGAAATAATGCTAAATGCAATAAGATACAACTAAGCTAATCTTATATAGTTAGGATAGCAAAAATAAATAGGTAAAGCAGAAAATTCTTCTTATATCTTGTCTTGTTGACATCAAAGGCCTTGTAAACTTCTTAATCTGATAAATGCAATTCTGTTGTTGGTTATGCATTTACAAAATTATCTATTCAGCAGAATAATCATGTACGGTAAACACATGTACAGTGTGTAATACAACAGTAAGGCAACAGTTACTCAAATAACCACTCATTACAACTGAGGTCTGCAGAAGAGCATCTCACAACACGTTCAACCTTGAAGCAGACACTGGTGACACTCCTGTCAGATCAGAACAGCAAACTGAGGCTATATTCACACAGACTCGCCAAATCAGACAATAGAAGAGTGGAAAAACGTTGCCTGGTCTGATGAGTCTTGATTTCTGCTGCAAAATTGGCGTAAACAATCTGAAAGCATGGATCATCCTGCCTTGTATCGGCGGTTCTGGCTGGTTCTGGTGGTGTGATGGTGTGATTGATATTTTCTTGACACACTTTGGGTCTCTTAGTACCAATTGAGCATCATTTAAAGGGGTCATATAATGCCATTTTTGTACAAGCTAGTATGATTCTTTAGGGTCTAAATTAAAAGTTTGTAATATACTTTAATTAAAAATTCTCATTAGTATTGTAAGAAAACACTTATTTTACTTGGTCAAAAACAGCTCTGTTTTCAGCACGCCGTTTCAGTGCATATGACTTTAAATGATCATGAGCTGCGCTCACCCCGCCTCTCTGTTCTGCGCATACACCGTTTGTAACACAATAACACAATAACCATAACGGTTGTTCATTATAAACGTGGGATTATGAATTATATTGAGAACGTCGTACATAGAAAACATGCCGTAGTGTACCCTGACTGAGTGTAAACCTTAGACGCATTCATCGTGAAGCGTGCAGCTGGCGATTTGCAAAGATTAATATAAATATTAATATAAAGTTTAATAAAACGTTACACTCACTTCAGTTGTTCTAGAGGTTCAGCAGGAACACGAAAAGCTGGTACCGATCCTTTATTCAAGAGCAGCTTCTTAGCAAAACCAGCTTTATACTGACCCTCGTTTATAAAGCAGTCTGCTGAGAAATGATTCGCGCAAACATGAGAGCATTGACGTTCCTCGTGGGGAATATTCCCTTCGAAAACAAACTCAGCCACTGCATCTTCAGCGGTTCGGATTTAGGAACATTAAAATGACTGCTGTGTTCGTTATTACACCCAAGAACAGAACACCACAAACGCTTAGACGCCATTCTGCTCATAGACAGTGCTCCAGCATATCAACAATGACCGCGCCGGTCCGCGCAGACTATGATTGACAGCTCCCTCACGAGCGAGGGCGGGTCTGTGTTGAAACGCGGCTGTCAATCAACAATCGTGGGAGGGGCTTCCGAGCGTGTGACGTCACAAAATCGAACGGCTCAATTTGAGGCAGGGGAAAACATATAAGGAGATTAAAACAAAACCTCTGGATGGATTTTTATCATTATATGATGTTTGTGTACAGACACTGCCAACACACATTTCAGTACAATCAACTTGTAAAAGTGCATGTACCATTATATGACCCCTTTAAACACCACAGCCTGAGTTTTGTTGCTGAATATGTCCTTATCTTTATGACCACAGTGTATCATCTTCTGATGGCTTCTTACAGCAGGATTACACATCATGTCACAAAGCTCAAATCATCTCAAATGAACATCTCAAGTCATCTCATGAACATGATAATGAGTTCACTACACTCAAACGGCCTCCACAGTCACCAGATCTCAAGTAGAGCAGCTTTGGGATGTGGAGAAACAGGAGATTCACATCATGGATGTGCAGACGACAAATCTGCAGCAAATCTGTGATGATATAATGACAAGATGGGCCAAAATGTCTGAGGAATGTTTACCGCACCTTGTTGAATCTAAGAATTAAGGCAGTTCTGAAGGGAAAAGGGGTCCACTAGCAAGGTGTCCCTAATAAAGTGGCCAGTGAGTGTGTATTTTCAGTGCTAAACTTGCATATTGTTGGGCCAATGCAGCAGATTCAACATGGGTCATCACATGATTATGAGCACCACTGTAAATGTTAACAATTGCTGGTACAGTATCTATCTAAGTAGCAGTGTGGAATGAAAAGCAGTATTGACAGCAGTATTATTAAACATCTGCTGGTCTTTCTGGCAGATGTGTGCAGATTTCTCCTCACCAGTTTCATGTCCTGTGGCTTCCTTCATTCCTGCAGGCCTGCCTGCTCTCAGACAAAAGCTCTCTGTTCGGTGCTTGAAACCATAGCGCTCTCGGAGCCAACCTTGGGTGACGAGATTAGAAGTGCAGTCCTGGACCGGTCCGGCTTGGCTGATGGGGTCAGACGGTACAGCGGCTCAAGACTCATGGAAAATGACGGACCACCACAGTTGTATCCTATATGGCAAAAATATATTTATTTATTACCAAAGTATGAAGAAAAAAACGTTTATTTTAGAATCGATTAATCGCGATTAACAGCACAATTTGTTTTTAATCTTGATTTTAAAATATTTCAAAAGAGATAAAATATTTTAGAAAAAATCTGTAAGATATATATATATTATATAAATCTATTTATTTTCAGTGTATTGGTGTGTGTAACACCAATACACACATATATATATATATACAAGTAGACTTAAAATAAATAGATTTTTTGATCAATTTTCATCAGTAATATCATATATTATATCAACTTTGATCAATACCATGTTTATATATATATTATATATATACACACATGTATATATTTAGATAAATAGATTATATGTATATATATAATATTTTTTTTTTACAGTATTTTTTTACATTTAAATATCAATTCAATTTTATTTTAACATATAATTAAAAAGTATATTTCTAGATTGAGTATAACAAAAATGTTAAATATGCATATTTATATAAATATATTTGTAAATATGTATATTAAAAAAATATATGACATAATTATAGCCTACTTTCCTGATTGACTTTTTTTTTTTGTTGCATTAAATTTTAAAATATTGTCCTAAAATATTTTTAAATGCATTAACTTCAACACAAAGATCCTCAGAGACCACAGCAGATCACAGGAGAGCATGTAGGAAGCAAGAGGTGAGTTCCACTGTGGTCCAGTACAAACACACAGATTAAACCACACACACACACACATACAGACCTGTGTTTTCTCATACAGATTCCTGTTCTGTTCTCAAATATCAGCTTCATCCAGAGCTCTGTTAGGAGTTTTTGTCTCACTGGTCACGAGCCACCTCTGATCGTCCTGAAGGAGCCATTCTGTTTAGAAACCCGATCGGTCTGAAATGACTGCGGCACTGGAGTTTT